TATATATATATATATATATATATAGGTTGACTGGAATAACTACTCTTCTCAAAGAGAAATACTTGAAGCATCGACTAATTCCTTCCGGCCCAAATTTTCTTCATCATCAGACCCCTTAGACCCGATAGACTCGAGAGAAACTACTCAAAAAGTGTCTGCACATAAGCACCGTCTTGTCAACGCAATACAACAACCCTGTTCAGCCGATAAGATCAATATGATAAACTAAGATCTACAGTGGACATTCCTCCGTAGAAAATGCCTAATGAAGAGAGCGCACTTATCCGAAGGTTTGACCAGCTCCTGTCGAATCAGTACAAAACAACAGTGAGCTTCACTCAAACCTATGCAACTAATAAGCTTTGAAGCATCGTTTTTTTACATTTACTATTAGATAAGCTTGCAGGTGATCAGTATAGGTCAGAAAATACTTGGAGTAACGATGCAATGGACCGTTACAACCAGACCTTTACCGCTGCAACGGCTAATGGGTCATTTATTGTGGAGTAGTGTATTTTTTTGTTTCTACAGACATTGCAAAATAAGACGGAAGAAGTTACGAACTGACCAAAGACGAATAAAGTCAAGCTGGATAAACGTGCGTGGTTTAAAAGACTAAGGATATGTTCGTCTGACGTAAATCCTTTGAAAAGGTCAACAATTTCGGTCGATACCTTGGGTGAAAGCGAATAGCCACGCTACGGTCCCAAACAGCAAATCGTTCCAAAACCGTAAATCTGGGGTTGCGTATCGACGGTGGCACTTCTTCCCGGTTCTTAGCCAAATCATTCCTTTGATCATTTTATGTCCACATTCCAGTAGATGGCCTTTGGTCTGTCTTGGTGCCAGCGATAAATTTTCATCCCACAACGTTAACGTGACGAACCTCGGTGCTTGCCTGGAACGGTTTCTTCTTATTACCCAATGGGTGACGCAGTACTCTCAATGATATTCAAACGAAGAGTCAAAAAGTATTTGTACACGGAATTAGTGGTAACCCTTTGACATAAATGGCAGGAGGTAGGTGTAGTTTACATAACTTGTTTATCCATAAAATCTTCATGTTTCCCGGCCTTTTTGCGAATAAATTTTGGCCATACCTTTTGCTGGTTGTATCCAGAAAGAAGATACAAACTGGGAAGCTCAAACGTCAAACAAAGTGCGTGGAAAATGTGCCTAGATTCTGATACACCTGTGACAGTTATAGAATAAAAGATGCATTTTGGGCATTATTATCTAGAGAGGAATCGTTCTTGGAGAAAATAAGTTCGCCCTGTGATTTGTAACTTTGAACAAACAGGCTATAGGAAACATGCAAATATATAAACCAGACTGCGAAACGAATCCTCACCTTCCCTTACTATCACCGACCACAGCCGGACGAAACTCAAAACGATAAGGTGTTGGGTTCATGGTGGTAGAACTGTCCAAGATGTATTCACTTGACCCATGGAGTCCAGCGCCTTCCAGAGTAATCTCCAACTTAACATAACCGCCAGTCCCCAAAGGCTCGGATAACGGACTGAACGGAATTTCTACAGGTTTAATACTCAAGCATGGAGCGACAATTTCTAACTCCTTCACAGGTGGACCTGAAAGGGGAAAGATGGAAGTTTATCACAAAACTCAAGAACATTTTAGTTTTCTTCGTGTCGAGAAATGAATTATATTTTATCGAAAATTAGTCGACGTATTCCGATAAAATGCATCCGGCCGAGGTGAACAGTATGTAGTCCTTATCTCAGTCGTGATTCTGATTTCGGTTTAGACGACAAATGACCGTTAAATGCCGGAGATCTCACAACGATGGCGAGAGATATAACGAAAAATCTTCTCGGATAATGTTTTGAAACATAAGACTAAAATGTTTTTGTTTCAAAACGTCACCATTCAATGGGACTGGGAAGTCGGTCGTTCGCTGTGTGAGCAATAACCTTGTTTATAATTTTTTACCAAATACGAATAAATTTTAACCTTTTCCACTTTCAATCATATTCCCCATTACTTTTGTTTTTGACAAACATTTCCCACATTTAAGGGTTTAATGGCCGAACAAACAATAGTACAGTAGAATACAGTTGTTATGCAAGGTAATGGAACTGGGCAGCATTCCAGAGTGTCCAAGAAAGAATGAGACCGGTCAATTCCGGCGGTTTCGAAGAACTGGCTGACTTTGTTGTCCATCCGACTGGTCACAAATGGTTGCTTCAAGGCACATGTTAGTTTACCTGCCTTTCTCCAAAGCGATCAATACAGTAAGCCAACCAATATACATACAACAACATGTCATCAAACGTGGTAGTCATGATGATAATTATGGAGGAGATGAGGGAGAGATTCGGGTGATTTGGATCGGCTTTCAACCTAGGGGTATCGACCTTTAGCATCAAACGGCTGCCTAGTGCTTTATTTTTGCAGAATGCTTCAAGCCTAGCGGTTACTCATAGAACACGAGTCTGAAATCGTTTCCTTTTTATCATGCCCGACTAGGGCTCACAAATGCGGACTTTCTTCAAGGGCATAGTAGTTTATTGCACTCACCGGTTTAAGTATTAATTAGGCTGTCGTGAAACACGTTGACGATGATGTGAGCTGCGTCAAGCCGCATGCTAGCAACCATTCGTCTTGGGTTGTTTTGGCTTGGTGAATAGCCTTGGTCCATTTATTCACACAGTTAGGAGAGAAACCTCCTTTATGGCTCTTCTCAGGGAAAGGCTTTATATTAGGCGGAAGTATCATATTTAAATAGAGGTGGATGGGTTACGTGAGGAACTAGGTGATAGAGTCCTCAGGGCTTTGCAATAAATCAGTCATTTATTATATGAACAGCTAACAACTGGGAAAGTAAGCACAAGTTATAACGTTATTCATATATATATATATATATATATATATATATACAACTGACCACTTCGGTTCTAACGTGCTGGGTTTAATTACACAAGATTCCACTACCGTTTGCTGCCCATTATTTTTCCTTGGTCAGAATCTCGCCCTGACCTGTCATTAGCAAGAGCATCCCTGATATTCACCCCGATATTAATCTTCTTTGAAAAAAAATACACTAAAACTCCTCGTGAGCTCGTTTGTCAGAAGCTCTCACAAAACAGAAAAGCCGCTGAGGCTATTTCGCCTGTGATTAGCAAACCCTTTCACAAATACAGGATGAGGTTTGTACCGAACAGCATCCCAGTACGAGTTTTCTGTCGTTTGAAGACCATAAGCTAGATATAGCAGCTTTTTCCGGCATTCGTCGTTTAGCTTAGTCCCGTGTGCATGAGGATGAAGGCAGTCACGTTGGTTAATGAATCATGTCGTTTACAAGAAGGTTACTTGCACACAGATTGAGGATTTCAACTTGAACGAAGCTTACTACTTTATGATCTGTCTGTCCATTCTAAAAAGTTCTGAGTTGGAGTCAACTATGTAATCAGAGTGTAAAATCAAGTTATCATCATATTTCGTATAGTTTTCCCTCACAGTGAATCTACAGTGTCACCTAGCTGTATGGATTTAGCTGAGTGGGGTGTATTCATTGTGCTGAATGTGTGGTGGGACTTTCACAACCACTGGTACAGCCAAACAAGCAACCGTTCAGTACTCGAAAAATTTCTCTTACTATTTTACCTGTTAGTTCGGGAGTTACCATCTGGTGCAGTAGAAAACAAATGGCCGGAGGTCGACCGATTCTGAACTAGCAATGTTTGTGGCGCCAGACTAACAGGTAACAACGGGATCTTATAAAACTGAAGATGCTGTCTTTCGATTTTTCAGCTAAAAGCAATAAGGGACCTCAAAAATAGATAGATATTTTCGTTGTTTTGAAGGGAATGACTGGTCATTGTGAAGCCTATTTTCTAACCCCTAAATGGGCGTAGTAGATGCTTACTTGCGTTTGAACTACTCAAAAGGTTCAATCGCCACAGGTTTCTCAACAAGAAGGGTGACGTACTGTTCAGATAACCAACCTCCCTTCTTGTAACCAACAAGATTTCGCGGTGATAATGTGATCTTATGATCGTTTTTTGTTGATCGGCTTTGGATGGTAAGCTGGCCACCCACTATAAAGTTTTGTTTTCTGTGCAACGTGATATTTAGTAAAAGAAAAGCCAAACTCGCATACTCAAGCGCGTACAGCGAGTTAGAATAGGAGCACCAGCTGAAGGTAATCTCCGAGCTAATCTATACGTGTGGACTTGGCCATGTCACATCGTTCGCGAACCAGCTATCAGCGCTCATCACCTACCTGCATCAACGTCGATAACGAGCTCGTACCATATCCGGAAAGGAAAACCGACCTGATTGGAAACGTCAGCATCAATCTTCAGGTCGTCATCAGAACTTTCCTCCTGGTCCGTTGGGGCAGTTCTGAATGGCCTGAGTAAAAATGCAGTGATGAAATTTTTGGGGAAACTTAATTTTGCAGCAACTTGATACCTGAATTTGCAGGTGCGAGAGAGAATTCACACGATTTAGATGCTATTTGGCTAATAGGATGGATTTCTGGGAAGTATGAAACGAAGTAACTAAATGACATGACTAAAAATGCCTTGATCTCTTTCATTGGAGGAGAAAATTATGACTTTACACTCTATCGTGTGCCTTTATGCAGCTGGCTTTCAATACCTTCGACTCAAAACACACACGTGTGATGCCAGGGGTGCACGGCACACAAGTGCCTAAGTAAATACTTATCCTCATCTTGTAGTGAACACTACACTACGTAAAGATTAAGTTTTCCAACAGGCTTCAGATGCAATGTTTAGCGCATCGCCATGAGGCATCGAGGTGGAGGGTCTGCTCAATAGTGTGGGTGTTGATTCAGTAAAATTCTGAAACATGTGAGAAAAACGTAAAATTTATCGGGAAGTTGAAGCTTGAGTGATTTTACGTCTACCGCACGCTTGAAACCTCCCGAGGAAAACGACAGGTTTCATTAAGGGAAGCATTTAGGCACGCAAGCAGAAATCCCATGAGATTCCGAAGTGAACGTAATGCGTTGCGATAGAATCACGCTTTAAAACGCTTGCATCAGGGTAAACACCGGTTTGCACAGTGATGTTCTCCATAAGCTCTACCAGAGCATTTTCAGCTTCCCATTAGCATTTATCGTCAGGGAAAGAAAAAAGTAGGTAAAGAAGCCTTACTAGGACAAATAATGTAAACTGGCCATAAATTAATAGCGCTCACCCCCGATTACGTCCTTGAAACAACAAGTAAAAGTGAGCAATAAATACTTCACTATTGATGCATAAAGTCGCCTAATCGTATTGGATAAGTTGCATAGATTTTGTCTTGTGAAGTTTATACCGTGCTAGTAGTCCGGACATGTCCAAGGATACGCTGACATAATTCTTATTGCATTGTCCATTAAGATGTAAGTTTAGTATATAAGCCAACGTTAGAGTGACCGTGTCACTACCAACATAATAGGCTCCCAAAAGTGGCTAGACGAAGGAGTCAGTCCTTTGAAGTAGGACGGACGGGTAAAATTGAGACGCAGGTGACAGGTGACGAGGGAAACGTTTACAGCCCTGTTGGGTTTCTGTCCAACACAATGATAGCTATACAAACGCTAGACTGTACTCACAGATGAACCAAATTAACTATGTTGTCCGCGATGACCATATTCAGTGTAGTTGATCTCATTTCTGTTTTCAGAAACCTGCTTATAAATTCAATGTTTCAGAGTGTTGAGATTGACATTTATCTTTCGTGGAAACGTATCCAGCTTGCAGCTCTTCGTTGTAGTAACCCACAAACAAGGTGTCAGTATTCATTCAGCTTCCAGGACACGAAACTCCTAAGGTTTGTTTGCTTGCGGTGAGTACGCCTAAAGTGAATATTTCGTTGTTTGATCCATTGCAATTCCTCCTCTCATACTGGTTGGATTAAACTGGCCACACGCTAACACTGGGATGCAGTGCATGAACAGAGTTCTGTTGGCCACATTACCTTGTCGAAACCAAACTCAACACATCTGTTTAATAGGGTATGGCGCACTTTCAGGAAATGAGCTGTCATTCGGTTTTTATTCGGTTATTCTGTCCAAAAGAGTGCTATCCTTTTGATTCGGTTATTTTGATCGCTATATTTGTAAGGACCAATTGCAGATGAGTGGGAAAGAATTCTTCTCTGAAATAACCTATCTTAGTCCCTAAATGTGTCAGAATAAGATGTCAGAATAAACTCATTTGAATTAAGGGGACGTTCAAGTAATTATCATCTATAGGAAGAGGAGAGGGTTGAGGACAATTAGTTGGTTATAAAACCAGCCTATAAGCCACACAAATACAAACTGCTTGACTGTGGGTCCTTTCTTTCACAGTTTCTTTCCAAAGAAATGTAAACTGACAACAGTAAGTTTCCACGAAAATCCCCTTCAACAAAGTGGCTGACATTCTCAAATGGCACCGTTAAACAACTTCCATAAGCCCAAATGAAGAATTCTGTTGATGGAGTAATGATTCCCTTTGTCGCAAAAACTTAGATGCAGTTCTCCTTGATATAGACCAGTTACACCCTGTCTCCTGAAATTTTACCTGCCCATTTCCCCCCTGTCCCCTAAAATTTTCCCTTCCATACCCCCCCCCCCACAATGTCCAGAAGATATTCTCCAACAGGTCTATAAACTACGCAGCATGAAAAGCCACAGTCAATGAAGCGAGGACGAAAATCACCAGTTTTCAATTTTGGAGAGGCTTACTTTGTTGGTCCACCTTTAGATACAAAAGCCAAGATGCCGGAGAAACTTCCGCTTTTTGAGGCCCGAAAGTATAAAGAACATTCAGTCGTCTGACCGGGAAAGACCACAAGATGCTGTGACGTACCTTCTTCACAGGAGCATGTGATTGTACCTGCTGGGAATGTAGACTCTACTTTATAGTGTTGCGTTTGTGATGTAGGATTTGGTACTTTGACAGAAAACGGGAAAAGTTTAATGTTTTGTTTGAATGCAATGCTTTTTTCTGTGTTACTCAGTTCCTGTGGATTATCCAACTGGAACGAAAACTTCAGTTGTCCTTGTGATTTCGGTGGCAGCCCAGAACCATTGAGAAGGAAGTTTTGAACGATTCCATTCTTCGTATTGATGAGATTTAACTGAGCCTGAAGGATGGATGAGGAAACTGTAGGATTTCTGAATACAGAAGCACTAGGAGGAAACAACGGTCCGATGGGAAGAAATGACTTTATAGAACGAACAGTTTACAAATAGTGAATTCGCTACAGTAGTTAATCAACTATCCAGTGTTTGTTAAACCCAAACAGAAGAAATACAAGTCAGCTGAAAACAACCCGATTGAGATTTCATCCTGTTAGTGAAGGCGTTTATGCTCAAAAGCTGAGAAGCATTCTACCACCATTTCATCTTTATTAGGAATCATCGGCAGTGTGCATTGCACGAAACACTATATGTGCACACACTGCCACCAAACGCCCATTAGGAAGCGAATGCTTAAGTGCACTTTACTGCAGGTGGGTTTCTGATACAAAGTCCCAAAATTGAATCAGCGCCACCCTCTAAGCCAATCGTTATCAATCTATTGCGGAGATTACAATTAAATGAGAGGTTTTAAGAACCTTGATGGCCTTTGGACCACTTATTCCCCAAGAAAAGAAAACAAGGTTGCCGTGCAAACTCTAGAATAAATGCTCCAGTGGCGGACCACCTCAACTGGACCGCCGGGACTAATTTAACCGCTAATAATAGCATCAATACACAGCCAATTTCCAGGTTGCCAAAACATGTGATCTTTGGAGTGATAGAACAATTAGTTGGAAGGTGTCGTACAATACACCACGGTGACTAGTAAGCACACTGTTTGCAAAACTCAAACTTCTTACTCTAACTAAGTGAAACCGGCCACAAACCCAATTAATAACAATACAACCATGGCGCTGTAAGTTTCAAAACTACTTACATCTGGCGATAAAAGAAGGGTATCTGCTCTTTACAGCGGAGCAAGCCACGGAATTCCGCAGTACTAGACACAGCTGTGACAGACGTAAACGGAAGACTGTAATAAAATGCTATATTGAGAATAAATGGAGACAAACTATATTAGTAGTGCTTGGGTAAATAGCCGCTGGATGAGAAATGAAGATTCCTGAGACGATTCGGCTTCAGAGCCCTCATAGGTTTGCTGTGCCTAGCGGGGGGGGGGAGGTAATTAATGTCAATCTTTTCTCTTGTATCTGTTTGACCATCTTGGCTTCGGAGATTATTCAAGAAGGCTCCCAGCGAACAGTAAAACAGTATCGCCTGGATATGGGGCAAACTACTGCAGCCGATATATTGCAGAACATCGACTGGTAATCAACGGGAAATGAAGAAAGTGTAGGTAGCCAAGGGGATGCAAAACTTATAGCCAGTAACTCACGGCAACAGTAGTTTCTCTGTAGGGCACAAAGTTGACGATATAATCTGTCACTTGTTTTGAGGGTGCGACAATTTTGTTCGGACCGGAAAACCACTCAACAGCCCCAGTGAACTCTGCTCGGAGATGCCAGTCTTCGTTAGTTTGATTGTTTATCGGAATTGCCTGCACGACGCTTTGGTGAACCGGGGCAGAAAATTTAAAAGTAATCTGTGCGTTATCCGGAACCGCCAGGCATTCGACGCGGTAAGCGCGAATATCGTTGGGACCACGAACTAGAATTTCTGCAGGGATAAGGCCAGTCCGTTCGGTACAGATCTCAAGATCCAAGGGAATATGAACCGGTAGGCCTGAAAAAAGTTGGCCAGTTCCTGGGTCAGATAAGGGTTGACATGCGGCGAAATAGTGGTAGCCATATTTTTTTTATTAATGCTTCTGCCTACCTGATTCACACTGTTCACCTAGGATCTCGACCTTAGATGTGACCTTTACTGACTTTAAGTTCACCTCCATTTCGTACACGAGGTCACGGTTGCGTTGCTTCGTCTGAAACAAAGTCACAAGTAGGAACAGTCAAGTCAATGTTTGGTCGCGAGATTGAAAAAATCTGAAAAAAATAATACAACACTATTCTGGACATCCAAGTTGTTCTGACATACTGCTTGCTCAGAGGTTCAGCCAAAATGAAATTCAAAGAAGTAATGTTTTCCTTATACGGTAGAGTCTCGTAATAAGTGAACAGCCGTGACCAGTAATGAGTGTACTGCCAGTATTCTGTGCAGAGTACTGAGGTGTGTAACACTCCGAAAATTCTCCGCTGAGCTGGAAAAAGCACGGATAGGTCTCCTCTTGTAAATCAGCAAACAAGCGTTTCACAGCATTAATTTCTGAAGATGTGAGATTACACTATTTCTCAAACTAAGCATGACACCGAAAAATGACTAATTGTGTATACGTCCACGAACTTTTGGTTCCTCAACCCCACTTCGCCTAAACGTCAAATCTTGACCTTTCAGTGGAGGACAAACAAGTTTATGGAGGAAGAGGCCATGAAAAACATTCTTTTACCAACTCATACGTTGCATAAATGGTTCAAACTGAACTCCACTTCGTTAGTCTGCTTTAGACACCCGAAATTCTTGGCTAGCTAAATGAGGTCAATTACACAGGTAGAACTATCTGAGCAATACTCCATAGAACCAAAGTGTTTGCTGATCACTTACAGAAGACTCTTATGTTAGTGATGTTCCACGTTTTTGGAACATCGACTCCCAGAAGACTTTCTCCTCAGTGTGCATGTAACACGGCGTTCGCATGTAAAAAGAGGAATATCGTACTATACCAGTTACTGTGTTCATAACGACTAATTATAAAACCAATATGCAGGCACGATGACTCACGAAGTACAAGCCGGAAGTTAGGACCTCTAGAGCCACTCATTCATAATTCCTAATAATCGGAAACCTTTCCTGACGGACTTGTTCGCGGGGGAGGACAGCAGACAAAGTCGTGTGCACTGGCTACAGCGTGACTTGAACCAATACTTTACAGCTGATTACACTTAAGAGCGGTGTAGTCCTGTATTCCTAACTAGGAAGCCTGCTTACTTCGGCACATGGCCATCATGCAGAGGGAATCCGTAGACAGACTGAAATGAAGATGTGGATATACGAAGTGATACTGACACTGTAAGTGATCACTAACTCTTGAGATGTACATGGAACTAGTCGTCTCAGGCTTTCTGAGGTGCGTGAGCATTGTCTATCTTTACTGTACAATACTGTAGGGTTTCCGGGTCTTGTTCACATCCTATGGAATAGGATGTGGAGAAAAGTGGGTCGAACTACGACCGGTCAACTGTTTTCGGAAACTCTGATTTATTCACGATCTTCGGAGCAGTTGAAGCCTGAAGCAACTAACCTGCATCCGAGTTTTCGCCGAATTCGTATCCAGGGTGCTTGCTGGTAGTGCAAGCAGATTCTGTGCCAAATCAAGCAGCTCGGTGTAACTTAGGCACGATAAAAATTCAGTTCTCTTCTGTCCAGATGTTTCCAGCTGCAGTCGCAGGGCCTGAGCTAGGGCATCGTTTCGTGCCTTGTTCTGAAGCGGTAGCAACAAGGTTTCTTTGACTGTCTGTTTGACTGGGACTCGAAGATAGATTACATCCGAATCACAGGGACGCCCAAAACCTTAAGAACAACAAGGATAGAGGGATGATTTAGATCCACAAGGGTTGGTATGTTCTGCATCACAAGCATGAGCATTCTGGCTTGTGAAAAATTAGATGAGTTAGACAAATATAGAAGCCTTCAAGACATCAGGGCTTACTTGTTTCATAACGTTTTAGTATAGAAATACGAAATTCTGCAGCCGCTCTTCTAGGTTAGGGTATATAAGGTGAGAAGTTCAGGTTAGTGTATGAAATAGCGCCCCAGCGATGCGGTGTCTTTAAGTAGAAGTCATTCGAAAAATGTCAAATGACTCGATTCCACTAAGGAAGACCGGTAGTTAAGAGGGGTTGAACAAATTGTTCACCCGCACACAGGAATAATTTCTGAGCGTCAAAAGCCAGTATGAGAATGGGATGACAGTTAAGCCCTTATAAAAACAAACTTTCAAGCATGTCGTTAAATTATGTTCATTCGGTGAGGGCTGAGATGGAGATGGAGACCGCTACATGCGATGATGTCTCCCACTGAAGGCCAACATTGATGAAAAAATCGAGAAACTGTCCCTTCAAGAATATTTCCACCACTATGTGAATATCATATAACCGATATATTAAAACACAAAAACGGGACACATTGTGACGTAATTGAAACTCCTCATTGGGAATATTCCAACTTTGTGCTTGTTCACACCCCCCACGTTTAAACCGTCGTCCTCCTGCTCTGGTGTAATTATTCTGGTGATTCCACACTGAAGGGAAGCACTGGACTCAAGTTTCGCTCTAATTGGAGCAAATCAGCAGCGCATGTACAATGGGCGTGCCGAGATTTGAACTTCGGACATCTGACATGTCGAAAATGTTCACGCTAGAGCAATGTGATTGGTGTGCCCGACTCAACTATGTCTGCAACTTTGTTGAAAATTCCCTACCCACGAAATTAACTCCCGTTGTAAATGCGACGCAAACTTTGTAACTGCAAAGACCGGTGATTTGTGGAGTATTGGTAGGTTATTACACCAGCCAACTAATCCTGGACCTCACGGATGAGAAAACTGATTTCCCAAACCCTCAGTCAAACCTGGATGTGAACCTTTGCCATAAGATTACCGAATAAGTTGATGAGTAGCTGCGACCCCAGAGCATTTCAATACACGTACATGTTATTCACTGAGGGAGGACGTGACTGGTCTTAAGTCCGTTGTGTGGTTGTAACTCGCTTTAGTCTCAGCTGTTTAGCAGATGGACACTTAGTTCACAATTGGACCAGCAGTAACCTTTTCACAAAGAGGAGGCTAGAAATCTCCTCCAATATGGTTATATATATGCGTGAGCTTTAGACCTCGTGAACCTCATTAAAATAACCCAACGCTTGTAAGCCTTGATAAGAAGCTGTTTCTTTCGGTAAATTCCCAAGGGAGGACTGGTAACTGTCTGGTGCTTTACAGTTACGTTGTGGGACGAATATCTGCTAACGTTTGTGTACAAGACAACAGAAGCTCACACAAAACCGGCGGGGTGAAGAGTTCACTTAAGGCAAACGTACTTTGTTACTGAAACATCAGCCGTATTAACTGAACAGAGACTAAATTGGACGACATCTCCAGTCCCTTTTTCATGGGGTATCAACACGCCCAGAAGACACGATTAGAAGCAGTGTTGTTAATATACATACAAAGGAATTTCAGTCAGCTGACGCGTTTTCCTCAATGATGTCCTATACGCATTACACTCCAAAACAACACCCACAAAGTGACCAGGCGACCAACTGCATTACGCAGCTTATACCTTTTTACCCAAGTCAGTAAAATAACCCCGTTTGTATGTTTGAAACAGCAGTTCCAGCCAATAACTCACAAGCTGCAGCTATTGCAGGAGACAGACGATATCCTTTGAAATTCAATTGATCGGCTCCCGTAACATCAGGCTCCGAGAATGTCAGAGGACTTGGTTTGGGAAGTCCTGCGTAACCGCGTACAATGACGAAAAATTCTCCAACTTTCTCGTTCCTGAAGAGAAGACAGCAGCTACTTTTCGCAAGTTCAAGTGGTAGAAAGATCATGTTTATGGAAGAATTATCCAAGGATTCGGTTTGGCTAGTTTCTTCCTTTGAGGGAAAATGATTGGTTTTGCTCAGCTGGCCTGTATCCGATTCTTTTGGCAAACTGCACTGGGTGCACAAGTAGACTGACTTCTGTCGACAGAAGAAGGCTTGAAGTGTAGGAATCGCTAAATCGGTAGTGAAAATTGTAGATTAAAAGCCATGAATAAAGGGAGCGAATGATATACAACGGAATGTAAGTCAAACAGCAGTGCTTTCACCAATGACCGATGATAAGCGAGGATAGATAGAATTTAAAGGTAATATCCTTCCAACCGTTGATGAGACCTTTGTAAAACATCGCTCTACTCAGCTAACAAACCAACAAAATCCATTGAAAACCGAACTACCAGCTTTCTACTGGATGCCCACTCCACACCGAATTCGGTATATTTTGTTTTGTGTAAAAATGCCCAGAATTATTTCTTACCATTTGGTTCTTTTTTATCTGAAGAGGCGCCGAAACTGATGTCAGAGACAAACAACCTGTCAGGAGCTGGTTTGTGGTTGAAATCGCGAAGGACCTTGAATAAATCCTCTTCCGACTCAAATTTGGCTATGTTAAACGTTCCTGATTGTTCATATGGATTACATACGGGTACACTGAATTCCTTTGCGGTATAACATGGCGAAGTGACATCCACCACGGACTAGAAAAGAACAAAGATGCATCAGGAGAACGCAAATGCAGTAGACAATCCATCCAGCAATTTCCTAAATATAAAGTATAAATGGTGGCACCACGGATGGTTAGGTGCACGTATGTATGATTAATCCCTACCACATTGTACCACTGCTTTGCCAGTCCTTAATTGTCTTTATTAAGCACCACTTGTGGTTCAGCTTAGAAGTAAGTGTGATAGACATTCGATGAATGGGTTTAACTTATGAGCTTTAAGATGATCGCAGTCGATAGTGGGTCACCGCAACTTCGTTAGCACCCTTTTAAAAAGTGTTGGATGCCCTGACTATTATGTCAGATGAAGCATAAGGCGCTCTTTCTCCTTGACGCTAAGTTGAATGTTATCACAAACGAGGGATTCAGCTAACATTTTACTTGCCAGTCGTATGTTTCTTCTTCAAATGCAGGTAGTCTAGGTCAAAAGCCGAGAAGCACTGTGAAGCTGCTTCATTCTCATTGAGAAAAAGGAGCAGTATGCATCGTGCGGATTTCCGGGGATATCCTAGCCCGGGATATCTGGGACGGTAGCTTGAGACCGAAGCGTTCAGCCACAAGCAGAGATTTTATTTGTATACATCTGAATAATATGCAGCAACTTTCATCCCTCAGGCAAAAAATTTATGTCCGGTGAAACCTGGACTGGCAGTTTCTCAGAGGGCCGGTTCACATGTCGTATGATTAATCCTACATCCCAAGCCACTAGCAGTGGGTTGATAATGTAAAGAAATTAGAAAATTTCGAGTTGTCGGAGATTGGGTCTGACAATCGGAACGTGGACCGCAAGCCTGAATTGTTCAGTCCGAAACTCTCTCCCGCACTCCACATCAGCTAAAAATGTCATAAGTTTCATACTGTGGTGCGGTTATGGGACCTAAATACGTCTTTCACTATCGTCTTCTGACCTGAGGGTGACGTAAGGATTCCGTCTTTACACAGAGCTTTCATATACACCTTTTTTTCCTGAAAAAAGAAGTCATCTTGTTTTTATTACATGATGAAACTTTCAGCGTATAAACGTTTCTACTTACAGCTGGACCAATGGCGTTGACATTCCCGACGAGAGCGAAGGACAAATTTCTTCCGCTGATGGATTCACCAGATTGGCATACTGCAAACAAAGTAGCCATTGCCGTGCGAAGAAACCGTGATCTAAGGATAAACAGCACGAAGAATTTTAGCGCTAACTGAGGGGAATCTCCCGTGAGCAAGGATATATATGTACTACTTTTACCTAATGTGGTAATCTTACATTCAGGCTCACGTTCTGTTGGGATAAATTTAGCTAGGTAAAACAGAAAAACCGCTGATATCTTACCTGTATGTGACTCCCAAACAGATGCTTGAGTTTGCAGGAATGTAAGCTAATACCTGATTGTTCTCAGAACCTACACATTGAATACCTAGGCCGTTTTTCGTATCTGTTTTGATTAGGTGGTTCCCAGAATGCAACGACTGAATTGCGAAGTCCACGGCATCCTGTCCAAGTAGGAAGCATTTATAGGTCAATGGAGAGCTGCTTGGATTTGTCAGAATAATCTCACGCTTACACATCACTTGATGAGGGCCTACATTGAAAAAAAATTTGAAAAATGATTTAATTTGTGAATCACATTCAGATAAATCACGTATAAAATAAGTCACTCACATTTTACAATTGGACACGGAACATATGAATCGGTAAATGAACCGTAAATATGTACTATAGCCTACTCATCCTCGGTTCTGTCGACACAAGGTATGTATCAACATCTCGTTACGTCTTTTAACTCAGTATTCCAAAGCTAGCTGTCCCTTTGCTATCGCAGAGTACTTGTGCTTTCGAGTAGCAGCACCCTGGACTGACCTAGTTAAGCCCACTTCATTTGACAAGTTCAGTCCACGTTACTGTGCATTTTCTCATTGTAAAGAAAAATGAAACTACCTATTTCCTGTGGAGATTTACTCCGTCTTTCAAGCTTTTATCAGTGAACCCAGAACAGTTGAGCTGCCAAATTGGCTGTTGTTTACTAGGTGTGCTGACAACACAGTCCATTATTATGAAACCGATAGTCATGATATTTCTAATTGGATGATCCCAAAAGCAAGGTGTAAAGTGAAGGGCCCACTGAAAAATGCTAGTCCGTTCGAGCTTTGTTAAGTCAAATTACCAGCAAAGCTAGTCATATGATGGATTTCAAAATTCCTACCGATGTCGAAAATCCAGGCTCAGCGACATTAACAGCTACATTCTACTTTACGGAGTATGGTCTATCTCTGTTGCTACGGCATGAATTATTGTGGTAGGCTAGTACAAATTCCCTTCTCCGTGCAATTTTATGATTGTCTTCACAAGAAGGCTTTCAAACAAATCATGGTTATACGGCAGCTAAGCATCAGTGCTGAACACTGATTTAATGCTCTCGATAATGATTATGACTTTCGGAACTCATTCGGGTAGCAGAAGGATTGATCACACAGTAGCCTGTTTTAGCTAAATTAGTTAAAGCTAAAGTGAAGATACCTGAAATTAGTTTTTTTGTAAATAATTCATTCAAAACAAACGGATGCGGTGAATATAATTTACTGTTAATACACTTTTTACTGGGTTTATACCGTCAGACAATTCTGTCTGAAATGAAAATGGTTGTTCTCAAAGCAAGCAAGGAGCTAGTTACGCCTTGAAACCGGCGAAAATGCTATCTCTGCATATTATTCGTATCATTATCTTAACCTATAAAAATTAACTTGAGTCGCTGGTAAAGAAGCGCATCCTCGGGGATGCATTCATTTCGGCATCCTTGTTCGTACGCGACGATGCGGATGTACAGCAAACTGCGAATTCACCTCAGTGCACAATTTTGAATGAATATTCAACGTCATTTCTGTTCATTTACAGCTCGTACTGGCTGGAAAAGTTTGTCGATCAGACAAGGCAGTCCCTAGTGTAAACTGTCACACGGAACACCGGAGGTCCACCAACAACACAACATGTGGCGGAAAGTGTTTTGGTAACCGCTAATCAATTAGCCTGACTGCAATGCAAGACCCAACAAACAAAGACTGCCAGGTTTACCCAGTGCCAGTCGATTGGTTGTGCAGCGTTTGCTATTACCTATGGTGCCCTTGAAGAAGCTTTCCTCTACATTTCTGAAGTCCACACAGAAGTAGGCCGTTGTAAATTATGATTGCACAAACATGTTAGTGAATACATTGGCTAGATGACCCGAATGAGAGTGGGAATGAGTAAACTATGCAGTCCTCCAGAAGAGGATCCAGAAGCGTTGTCAACTTCGACGGAGAAGGTGAGTAAGTATACATGTTACAAAACTCCCACTTTATTCTTTGTGTTTCTTTCTTAGCAGTTGTTTTTGTGAACCAGACAAATAAGCCAGCCGTTCAGTCGGAAAACTTGTCACCGACTTCTAATTTTAACCACTTGTAAATAGTTACTGAAACAATTTCGAAGAAAATATTCCAAAGGCTGTATATTTGTTTGGGGAGAATTTACCTGAGAACTGCACACACTGGCATACGTTGTAGTCAGGTAGAGTCCGGAACAACTGGACGCACAAAAGCAATATTTCAAGCGGATGGGGATTGATGATATCCGAAGGTAATAGACCGTAGTCTAAGCAAATGGTGTCGAGCGCAGTAATGATTTGTATAGCATTGTGCAGACGTTGTTCATCGGTTTTTGGTTGTGTGTAAACCTTTGAGATGTAGTCTGGGATCTGGAGAAGGACAGAAAAGAATTCACTCTTTGGAACAAAACCTATTTACTCAAGAACATCCATCTTGTTATTAAGGACAAATAAGGACCCGAACAATAAACAGTATCTACTCATCCACTCTGTAAGTAAATTAACTCATCCATAGCTATTGAGAATCGTGCAAAGTAGACCAAGCACGCTCTAACAATAAGAAACCTTAGATGTACTCCAGTGAAGACGTATGTACATAAGGGTGATTTCTTGAGGGAGTTACCAAGTTGTGATTTAAAGGCATTGGCGAATTGCACGGGGCCAGGTTCGTTTTAGGGCTAGAGGAACTAAAATCATACAAATCTGAGCATCATAACTATTTGACGCCGTTCACATTTAGCTTCCAACCGGAATAAGTACAGTGGTCTCTAAAGGAGGATCTTGAACAGCTGGTATTTTCGGGGGTGATCCGCAGAAAGTACTCTTTGCCAGATTTACAAAAACACACCATCTCACAAACCACAGTCTTCTCAAAAGGGTACAGAATTCTGCTATCCGCGCTAAAAACTTTATTTTCTAAGTAAGGCGGTTAATCTGGTCGTCCATCAATATACATGAAAACACACGTTTACGCGTCAGATAATAAATGAGAACAAGTGGGATCAACAAACGAAAATCGGCTAGTTAATTCAGATTCATAATAGTTAAAAACTGGATGGGTTGTAAACATCTTTAAAAAATTTCTCGCCTGCTCCCAGCAATGTCGGGTTTCAAAAGCTCTGACCTTTCCATTCAATTTTATTACCAACTGACAATTCTTTAACGTTGGAGCATACCGTGGTTAAGAAAATGGGACTTAATTTCTCGACAGCCCACGACCGGTTTTACACTTCTTGAGGAGATCTCTCAAATATCATGCCAACTGAAAAAAGAGGCCACATTCAGTTGCTTAAAAACATCATAAACGAGAGGACCAGCTGGGTTCCAGACAAGTATCCCGTCAAAACCGATATGGCATGAAAATGAATGTATTTCGCTTAGAAGCGGAGTTTCTTATCGGTATAACATTTTTACCTTACCCATAATATGGTATTTGTTTGCCGTATCCTGTTTTTCGTCATTTACTAGATGTAAAATGTGATCAGTCGAATACTGGTGGTGGTGACCTGTTAATTTCAGGCAATGTTTTGCTCACCCCTAATGTATCTGGGGTTGTATTTGAAATATGCCCAATAAAATTTGGAGCCATTCTGTCACGTTTCCGTTGGGACATTAGGTACAAACAACCAACTAAATAATGACATGATAGCAAACCTGGACGTTTGCTCCGGAGCAATAACGACAACTGCTGGTGAATATTCCTGCCTATTCGTGAGCGTAAAATACTGATAATATTGTGCAAGTTTGGTGGGAGAAAAATTTTAAGTAGTTATATTAAACTCCGTCATTTACAGTGACCTGCTGCAATGATTTCAGTTCAGATATCCGCCTCCAGTACCGTGGTCAGTTGCTTTGACGCACTATTATATCAACTTGTAATGGTTACACATGAATTTCTTTGAAACGCCACAATCTATTGCCAGAAAGTATCTTCCTCTAATTGAGTTCACTATTTTGACGAGCGCTAATAAGTCGGTATTTGGCCAAACCTAAGATGTTTATTTAAAATGAAAGGAGAGTAAACCAATACATAATGATTTGGAGTGTGCTTCATGAGAAACTGCCTACAGTACTTTCTTTTTCTCCTATAATCAACATACTACCAACCTTGACTAAGTTACTTCAGTCAGCTCTCCTACTTTGCATTAGCAGATAAATGATTTTATCACACGACGTTGAAGTGGCGGATAGGAAATCCGCCACATTCAGCGTCAGTACTCGGTAATAATATGCGACAATGAAGTTGCTGTCTGGGGTATCCGAGGTGCCAGTTGCCCTTGTTAGACCTGAAACTCAGTGCGTTTTTGAGCGAGTGTCAGGGGCTTACCAATACACTTATCTTATTCTCTGTAAGGGCCGAAAAGTTTCACGATAACGAAACGTGTTGCGCTTGCCCTTTTTCGACAGTAAACAACCAACGTATACAGTGCGAGGCGCACGAAGACAATGGTCTGAGTTACGGGTAACAGACGAGTACCAGACAGTACATCGGAGGTCATGGAGGGAACTTTGCTCTTTGAATTCTGAAAAGAGCTAGAAGGTATGACTGTAATTGTCGGTATAAAGGGAGTACGAAGACTTATGCATGTGAGGATATCCTCGTACTGCCTGGTCCCATAGTCACTAGAAACAGCCCTTGACTCACATATGGTAACCAACCCATTCACCTGCGATCATTGGGCAAGTTATCTTGGTCGCATGGGTAATCGACTGCCTCAAACGACTAAGGCACTCAGAGGAAATCAGTTCAAACTAGACACAAAGTGCACCAATGAAAGCATGATCGGCTCCCATGCCCCAAAAATTGGTAAACTTGGCAGCCCGTTGTCCGACATCTGCTACAACTGAATAGTTTATTTGTCCAACCTCACAGAACTTTTAGTGTCCTGCTCACACATCCACCAGACAGTCAATGCAGACAGCTTTCAAGAGTATTCAGTTTCACCATCTCAAATTTTGTTCCATTCTATGAAAGTGTTGGTCCGCTGAGAGCTTAGGAACACATCGTTTGTCAACTTTGTGTTTTAATAATACGCGGGGCCATTTAATAAACAGAAACAAATATTACCACAACTATTCTTATTTTCCTAGTCAGCTTTCAACTGTACAACTACGGACGTTCCCCTACATTTGTGATCTCTTGGGTCAATGAACTTACCAACGACGGGACGTAAGAACCAATTAGGCATGCAAGAACGACACCATCAGAAAAGTCGGTGTCGAAATTCCCAATCAAACGCGGCACTGGGACCTTCTGACTTGATACATCGTGAGACCAAACGGTTTGACGACCATGTTGGTAACAATAATTGACCCAATAAAGAACCGCAGCCTCGTTGTTGGAGCATCTGGACAACATCGACCATGTAGACAGCTGTTTAGTTGAGAGGCAAGTAGATGGTTCTGGCTTGATGGGACCATTCTCAACTGAGTTTACCATCTCAGGTAGCCAGTTCCATACGGTCGAGCTAACGTCGTTGAATTGCGTTTGTGCAGTCCAGGAAAACTCATGTGCAGCTGTACGAAAAGGCTGACGAACTTTGTCAACATCATTTGGCTCAAGGCGCTCGACTACAAAACACTGGAAGAACAGAACAAAAAGGTGATAACGTTCAGCTGGCTAATCGATGCAGCCTGATTTGTATTTTCACCCTCTTCCAAACTCAGTTCGTCACTCCAAGGAAATCGACGGATGATAGGCAAAGACCAATTTTAGAACAACACCTAAAGGCACGTTTACGACCGTCTTTTTCAGCTTCAAACTGGCTATGGTTACACTGAACCAAAAACTGAAGGAATAAGAAAAACCGTTGTTTAAAAAAAGAAATTCCATTCTGTTGAAGTAAAATGTGCCCTCTATAAACAAGCTAGCTGCAGGCATCGCTGGTGGTATGTCGTTTCCATTTATCTTCGAAACAAATATACAAGTTACTTTGGAGAACTAGAACTGGTAGTTCACAATTATCGACTAAAATGTTCACTCTTCTAGTCAATGCCTTTGTGGTTGTCTGTTCTCACGAAAGACCAACGCATTCTTTATCCATTTTAGACCTGCATGCAGGAGAAATTTAAGCGCTTGCTTAAAAAACATCCTTACGAGTTAGCTTAGTTGCTCCAGTTGGCAGCCTTGCGGACAAGCAATGGCAAATTCATTTTGTCGTAGGTTTTAACACTGGAACAAATGTTGTCTTTGAAAATTCTCTTCATTACCACATCCTTTGCGATGCGCGACCATCCATGTTGTTTCGACCAGTATTTCATGCACATATGAAGACCAACATCAAATGTATTGCAGTAGCGAGGCGGTATTTGCAGGTACGTTTCTACAGAAGGGGGCCAGGTAGACTGGTGTGTGTGTGTGTGTATCTAAGTGATATCACTTGAATTAGTTTCGGCCTAGACTATAGGAATGCGCCAGGAGTGGACGAGTTCGTCCCTATGGGCTCTACGATGAATTGAAGAAATGCTGCACTGGGTGACAGATAATCCTAACTTCTGGAGCAAAGTAAGTTGCATAATTAGAGATACCATGGTTTTGAATTGAAGTTAGTAATGGGAGGAAGTCACACTCGGCCAGTGTTGTTAATTTGACTAAGCTGTAAGAAAGGAGCCTGAAACTGTTAGACCTCGACGTAAGTCCAGCAGGTAACTGTTGACTGATCCATTCTTCACTTTGAAAACCATCGATGTATTTTTGGCTAAAAAGAAGATGTGAATAACGAACAAGGAGCAAAGCCAACTTGCCTTGATCAGTTGAAGCATCAAATCTGTCCACGCTCTAATCGAAACGCTCTCAAATTCCTGACGTGTTAACTTGGGCAAAGGTTGTATTGGCAGAATTAACAGCGATTGTTTGTGTGGACCTCTTGGAGTCTTGTCTCTTCCTGATTTAGGTGAAACAGGTGGTTTAGATTCCGAGCGTTTTGAAATGATGCTGGCACTTAATGCTGAATGTCTCGGGTCACAGAGACTTCTTTCTGTCAGGCGAATGCATCGACCAGATTTTGTGAGTCCAGGAAAACCCAGAGCATGCCAAGCTTCGTAATCTTGAGGATCCATCAAGTGTTGTGGTACTACATGAGGTAGACATCCTCCTTGGCTAAAATATGAATAGTTGGAATAAATAGGGAAAACGTTTGTTTAGTTTAGCGATTCATAGAATTAGAGATCATCGTGTTTTCTCGGAACTTTGTTCGGTTTGCTGTTGTTGGAATTGTGAGCAGATCTGCGGACTTTAAATAAAGATTTCGTTCTACAAATAAAGTCAATCTTTGCTGAAAAGGCGAGAAGCAGTGTACAGCTGTTTCGTCCCTGTTGCGGATCTGACGAAAATCCATAGTATCTTGAGCCTGCGACCTTCAGGTTAGTAGTTTGAACGCCTATCGTTTTGGTCATGAGTACCTAAGCAACAGTGTGATTAAATTGCCCTCGGTTAGGAAATAGCATAGCTTATCCCTCACCTAAGGGATTCACACCACCTAGTCACACGTGTTGACTGGCTGTTTGAGTAGCTACCTCCAGAATAGAGGTCCCACTTATGGGACGAAGTATAATTTCTTCTCGATCTACTCACAGATTGCTGGTAGTGAAAGAAATTTGGGAATTTTCGTTTCGAATTGTTTTACCCTCCATTGCGAATTTCCGAATTTTCTATTACTACCAAAAATCTACAGGTAGCTCGGGGGAATTGGTGAAACGACTAACTAGGAGGTCGCTAGCTCGAGGTTCTCTGGAGTTTCGTGAGATGCCCACTGCTGATGACACCCAATAAGGATGAAACGGCTGTATAGTTCTTCTTGTCTTTTCAGCATGGACTGACTCCACTTAGACGACGAAACCTCTATCGGTTTATTCCGTTGAGAAATTCAGCTACATGTTTATTGCAAATGTCTAGTCATGAGCATTTAGAAAAATTGAACACTAATATTTAGACAGTATCGTATAATGGGATGCGGTAAATTCTTGAAGAATGTCCTGCGGTTGGCAACTGGGTGCAATAAATATCAGAGTCGCAAACGATGACGTATATTACATAATTTACATGCAGCCAACAGCGTAATTTTTTTTATTCTGCCTGCACCGCTCACATTTGGCCGCCACCACCGTCACCAAGACCACCACCATTACCAAACCCACCACACTTTGGAACAGCGCTTGGTACCGGTGTGTGTTCTAAAGATTTAGTTTCATTAACCCCGTGCCTTGATTGAACTGCTAGAGGAACGAGTGCACAGCCTATCATCATGGTGCTTAGCATAAAGCTTTTGGCACCCCTCACGGAGTTGAATCCAGCTCACCAGGATGCAAGTTCAGCATGGGCTTCACTGGACCAGCCCGGCTCCAGTTGTGTGCAACAACTGATGTAATGAAAGTTTTTACTGGGGCCATGAAAAATCACCAAGTGCACTTGAGAAGTAGATGTTGAATTATTTGGTATCGGAATCATATTCACCCCTCTAGAAAAGCAGCGGTTCACCCAACAAAGAGTCTAAAATAGAAAATACTTTACAGGAGATTTCACAAGTGACATTTTCCCATAGTGTTCAGAAGGATTTCTTAATTTTGGATAAACTGTTTACCCACTCCTCCCACGAGTACAGGAATTGTTTGTGGGATAGCCCATTTCCCCATATCTCAAAAAATCCGCCATCCATCAGAAAAACACAAGGAAAAGCACTGTGTCTGGAGGACGTGTTTGAATACTGGGCTTCAAATTAGCGTATATGACTTCCAAGTATTGGGAAGCCTATTTACTCCAGATGAATAACGGACTCAAATTTAAAGAAATATCTTGTTTCAACTCGATAAATATTGTTCCTATGCTTGTACCATAACGTGCTTATGACAGATCACCGCAACGTGCTCGCGTTTCATTTACTGATTTTAGCGAGTAATGTGTCAGTTACCGATGAAGGTAGGATACAATTAAGTAGGTAGTCATCACCAAAAGAATATCTACTGCATCGAAGGTACGGTAGGATTCCGTCTAGATTGTTTTTGTTAGCTAGGTGGATTTTATACTACCATTTGATATACACTTTAGATTACTACGCAGACAAGTTTGAGAATAAATGTATATCGTGACAATTGGTATGGAAAAGCAGGAACTAACTAGGCAAAAAGAGTGTGGTGAGTGCCAAACTGTAGAGAAAGGCAGTTCAAAGCAATCCAAAAAACGTCTGGTGAATACTTGGTAAATTCGGCCCGAGTTGCAATGCGATCATATTACGGGACGGACTCCGTTACAGATCACTGAATAGTTAGATGAAACTATTTTTACAAAATCCCAAACATACACTTCCCAATTAAATCACGGTGATCAAGAACTCAGTTCAAACAAGGTGATATTCTGCTATCTCTTTGGTCCAAATGTGACTCATCATTTTGGCATATTTTTTAGTTTTATCGGATTACATAGCTTACTTATCAGAATGTGCATATGTTGAATCGCGCACCATTTGACAGTCAAAGGTACATTAACGTGACTGGAATTCGACAAAGTCGTCTGATTTGTTCATGACTAAATCTCGTAGTGAAATCTTGCTTCTGGGAAGATGTAAAGCTTCGGGTGGTTGAAGTTCACATTGCGGACCGAAGTCGAGGCCAAATCAAAGTTGGAATAAACACACTTCGTACCGGAAAGTTGCATCAAACTGCAACTGAAATGGTTTTGCGTCAACGGATGCTTAGTTAACTGTCGGCTGAATTTTGCGAATAGTAAAATGAGTGGTAAGATTAACCGAATCGTGATATTCCGGCATTTTCTTTTACATTCAAAGCCACTTACATGTTGCAGACAATTCAAAGGATATACGTTGTCCATGTAGTGTTAGGAGAAGTGTGTCACTCCTAAATCGACCGAGAAGCCTACGCATTAACCTGAACTATGGCTAGAGTTCAAAGGAGACATATTTAAACACGTAAAACTGTACAGCATCTGTCTCTCAGAACGACTGGTTTCGGATTCCATGTCAATCTATATTTGTCAAGCAACTATGTAAAGGTGTAACCACCATCCTACCTGTTTACAAATGTGAGCAGCGAGGAATGAAAGGAGTAGACTGCATTCATGGCATCAAATGGCCTTTCAGTATTCAGAGAGATAGAAGGCTGTACTCCAGGTGGCGCGGTTCCGCCACAAAGGTGCACAAGAAACTGGTAAAGCAAGCCAATATTATGGTTGAAATAAGTCCTAGCCTTTGGTTTTTCTTGCTCGCTATGCTGAGGACCAGAAGCGAGAGTTTTCCAGTTGTCAGATATGACTGAAGGCTTGTGTTTCTTGAGACAGGCTGTGAAGGATGCGCATCTGTAAGTGGGAAAATTAGACGAGATTACAATGACAATTAATACCAGTGTAGTTTAATGATAATGCATTTAAAGCCTAAAAAACTGTACAACCAATCAACTTGGGAGTTTTTCCCTCGCTTAGCGAGTACTGTTTTTCCACATATTCTCTCTATGTATATAGATATACATCCCAGCTAAGTTGAGCTGAGTTCTGGGAAAACTGAAGCTTTCCTAAATATGATTTTACTTGTACCAGAAACAGAGTTCTTTGTACGCTTCACTGAACTTGCCAGTGTGCCTTACCTGCACCAGTGCTGACCGTCAAGTGCTGTTAATTCTCCTTTCAGTTTGCCCTTGGATCGAATACCATCCAAAAGCGATGACGTTAACAGCTATGAAAACTGCCCCGTTCACTACCACCGACAATGGGATTAAGCAACTGGAACAAGTAATCATTTTTCGCAATATATCATGGTTTTTATCATGTTTGGAATTAAGGAGCTTGGCACGGAGAGTATTACAAGCAGCTGCTTGTCAGGGAGCATGAAACGCAGCAGCAAGAGGACAGCTGACAGTGGTTGGTTTAGATGTTCTGTTCAATTGAACACGCAACAACAGACGTGTTGGTAAATGTTTATTCGTTTCAACCTAAATTAAGATTCATTGGAAGAACCTGTGCTTCACAAGGATAGGGACATTCTAGTTCCTTAAAAGTGGAATACACTTCTTTCACCAAAGTGAAAAAGGAGAGGTTTTGGTACACACATTTACGGTGGATCAGCCGGGAAGACCGTTTAGATGTTAAAAACTGTGAAGCAAATAAATTCAGTAATCGAGGGCGACGACAATGTTTGGATAGGAATAAGTTATGAGGGCCTTCTCCGGTTGATGACGGTCTTAATGTCATGAACGAGGTCGCGGTGCAGTTAAAAGGGACTGGAGAACAAAAACCAAGTGCCATTTCAAATATTTTACCTGGCGTAAAGTAGTCTGGAAGGGGCTAGAAATTAGCTAATGTAACAAAGTGTGTAAACAAGCAACGCGGTACGCTATGCTACTGTGGTCGCCATGCAGTATTCAATGAAACTAGTCAGTTGGTCCAGTGGTAAATTTTGAAAAAAAAACAATCCTGTTCTCGTTACTGTTACCAGTATGTCGGTTTTATGCCTTGCAGATAACCTTGCTGGTTAAAGGTTTGAACCTAATTATCCTCGATCTAGGTAGTCCAACCATGGCTACACTCCTCAGTGTGGGAAATAAGTGCAAATCTACTCGCGAAATGTATTTCTCCAAACGCCAACTTGGTTCTGACGGGAGACCCAACTGAATATCAGTTTTGGAATTTCAGCCCCCTGCTTGTGAGCTACCATGGTGCTGAACTGATCAAAGTCAATAGCGATCCCTGGCAAGGCTTAGCATTCACTGCTGATCAGTCCCGAATACGCGCTGCCTCAGATCACGGTGCCTTAGAAAGGCTCCCTTGTTTTGCGGAATAGATAACCACACAGCTATGCATGACGCGGGAAACTCTGTCTAAGGTTTTTCAACCGATGTACAGGAATCATTGAATCCCAGAAGGCTATGATGTGGTCACGCGGTGGTCTGGAGTAGTACAAAAACGAAAATCACATTAATGCCCAATACTAATTAGCAAAATAGAAGTGCCGGATTATCCAACAGGATACCCAACAGTCAGTATCAGTTTCTTAGGCAGAACTTTACATTCTCTAATCCAGAAATCAGACCATTCGTTCACTTACAACGGACCTTGCAATCTACGGATGAAATAATCCTTCTTCATGCACTTGCACAGAGGGCTTGTAAATATAATCCGTGCCATTTATTCATAAAAGGCAATAGTCGCAGAAAATACAGTAAAATGTTCGAAAGTTTCCCACAACCAGTGTTCAACTTTTTCACTTAAATGTACCCACTTCATGGGACCCTGAATTAGAGAAACTCAAGATATCCTAGGGAAAGCTATTTGAACAGACTGTGAGGACAAAAATGTGAGGAAACTTGCAATTTGTGCACCACAAACAACAAATCCGAAGCTCTGAAAGCCTTAGTCGTCTTTGAACACTCGACTACCGGTATATTTATAACCAAGCATGGGCTGAATGACTAAAAAATTTAACGTAAGTGAGGTCTAAAGCGTATGTTTGTTCTGCAGTTCGCGGAGCAGCCATAATTGTTTTACTGGGCGCCTTTTTACTAACACCCTTCCCGAAATCTTACCTTTCACCTGAAGAACTTTTGGCGTGTTCTTCACCCTCATCGGTGACTGAACTGCCGTCAAATGCCTCCAGGAAGTGAATGAAGAACGCTTTACGACCGTCAGTTTTGACATCAAAAGTGGCGACAGCATGTTGAGCACTAAAAATAACCCAGTTCTTGATGCAGGGGTGAAGAGTGTGGTATCCAACCCGACAAAAGACGGAGTTTTCGAGGTTTTACTTGATATAGTTGATATTTACTTGATATAGTTGTATGGTCTGACGACGTATGGGACCTCTCAACACAAATTATTCACAACTGAATCATTGTTCGTGAATTTGCTAGGCTTCCTTCCTCTCCATATGACTAAAATAGGTAATGTTTACCGGTGTAAGTTAGACAACGAAGTAAGAAATTCAGCGGTGCAATTATGTCCGTGGCGGAGACCTGACTAATTGTGCCACTGCGGAGGTATCTACCGGTTTTATCGCATGTTTATATTCTTACCCATTCGGACGCATGCGAGGACCTAGGATTTGCGTAGTGTGTTGGTTTATTAGCTTGGTGTTAGTTGACTAGGCGTTATGATGTCTACCGCTGGACAAATTAACCTCAGTTAAACAACGCTCTCTAACACCTTCTCTCCCCGCAAGGATGTGACGGTGGCAGATGTAATGCCGATGAATGTGAAGTCTGTGCGAACGATGCCTTTATCAACAAGGCTTGTGAATGATCGCCTTTTTCGACCTGGTTATTTACCTGCCCAGCTTGCACTAGAGTAGCAGTGCGTCACAGTTAATGAATTTGGTGTGCAAACGCCCAAGTGAAAAGTAATGTACACATTTGGTTAGCCAGAATAAAAGTAAAAGCCGGGACTCAATGTTCCTGCCCACTTTGTTGATTAACCGGATTAATAATCCTAAGACATAAAAACTATTCTAACATGGTGATATGGATTTGCCTTCAACAACTTGGAAACTACTCACAAGTGGATTTGGAAAGGCGCTTCAAACTGCTAAGGTAATGAATTACCTGCTTACTCAAAGTTGCCTCTCACTAAGTGGATAATTTTGTGCTTCATATCATTGTTTTTACTTACTTCCGAAAATCATCCGGAAAGTTCAGCATCTGGGTGCTTCCTGGAAAATTTTGATTTTGAATCCATCGTCGCACACACTCTGATGTCCTCCTATCACAATACTGCCAATGACGACCGAAGATTCCTTCAGCTAATTCTGTGGCCGACTGACAGTGCTTTACCACAATTGATTTTCTACCCGATAACTGTGGGCTTTAAAACAAAATGAAGAGATCTCTGGCATTCAATGGGGGTGTCTTTTGGTGAATAGTGAACTTAGAGATCATAAGCAACCCGAAAGCACTCATTAGCACTACAGTCTGAAGACTGGATAAAGGCAAGTGAAGTTAGTCGTCCTGGAAAAGTCATTGTTAAAGTTAATATGTTAAGAATAGTGACGCTATTCCATACCGTCATTAAAGAGATTATTCTCAGCTATTTATGCTATTTCACTTAAAACCAGATTAGTTCACAGAGTACATAAGTCAAGTATCACACATCACTGTGGCCAAAGTAATTTTCGTGTGGAACCGACTACTTACTTTTGCTTATTTAGGTGGATAAAACGCACGCTTTCGGATAAATCTTTCCGGATGAGCCAAAATGAGCGTACCCACTTTTTGCAATTTTTCTGTATGTGTTTTTTCCAGCTCAGTAATCGTTCGAAGGGTGAGTGCGTCCACGCACTCGTTTCGCCAGGATTCCTAGGATATTTCAAGTGGAATTCAGGTTCGAAGTGCAAGCTTGTTCTTAAGCATGCCTTTGGAAGATCTCTGGAAATTCCATTTGAGTCTCAAATCGGCTTGACTCAGAACTCAGTAACGAAGTGATGGAGTGCAACAGCCGATTGATTGCGAGGTATTTGTTGTTTATAGACCTAATACCCCAGAAGAACACCCCTGTTTATTTGGTAGCACTTCGTATAAAAGTGTCATCCTATTTCACCAGAGGACTGCTAGATGACTATCCAACTTCTTGAGCATTTTCCTCAAATCAGCATCATACTGCATGTAGGAAATAAACCATCCGAGACCCATTCTGTTACCTCTTGTGGACTGTAGATAAAACCATTCAGACCATGATGATCGAACCTGGTCATTAATGAATGCCACTTTTACACTTTTCATGCTAGATTTATTTGCTCTTCTCCATACTCCTATACCTCCTGCAGGTGCATTAAGCTTAAAATGGATATTATCCTTATTCACACATTTGAAACTAATGCCTCAGTTGAAAAACAACAACCGTGTTGCCTTTAACGCCCTGGTTGACTGACTTTTCGCAGTGGTCTCTTCGCTTCCACCAGGCTTTCATAAACTGATAGACTGCAGTATGTAAGCCCCCGGCTGATTGGAATAGGTCATCAACTTGTTTTTCTCACCACAATGTGTGTTCGGTACCACGAATGACGACCTCAAAACTTCATCCACAAAAAGCACCTCAAATTATTTCGGTCAGAATAAAATTTTACAGCCATAAGATTCTTTTGCAGTTTTGTGCACTTGATTGGAGTAATCCAAATGTATTCGGTAACCATGTAAGCTTCCATAGATTCTTTAGAGGTTTGATAGTTCTAGGTTGCGTGGACATGAAACTAATTATAACTGAATAATAAATAAGCAAGCCACCCTTTCGGTGCCTAGCTGCCACCCGAAAGCGAGTACGACGGCTGGTTTACCGCCAGGCTCCCCAGGACTAGACGTTGGGGAAGTAGAAATGCAGAAGTCAGATTCGAACCACGGACCTTCCGGTCAGTAAATCTGCGCTCTAACCACTGAGCCATCTCGCTTTATCAATTGTGAAAATAATAGATGGTTTCGTGCTCGGAAACTTTCGGGTTCTGGGGCATCATGTAATTGTGCATCATAACGTGAGTAACAACGAAGAGCGTCGTAGAATCAGAGTAGAAGATATACATGAAAGAACACAATATGACAAATATATTGAGCCTACCGTGGTGTAGAATTCTTTTCCTTGTACACACCTGAAAATAAAGGAAGGATAAAGTATCAAATCGCGCTTCCCACTGCATACATACTACTAATATATGTGAAAAAATTCTGATTACCGAACAAGAAAAGAACCAAGAAATTCTCTCAAGTTTGTAAAAAGACAAACTGATTGCATGTGTTTGGTAGGGCCAAGAAGAAGTATGTAAATTTTCTGCTATGGCAGGGTTTGTCCCTGAGTTTCTATGATGATACTCATCTGCGTACAAATGTTCATTTTAGAAAAAAACGTCCAACTGGAACTGAAGTACTCAATAAGTGTACTTACTCTCATCTGCCGCTGATTTAAAAAAAGACCACTTCAATAGTTTCTGAAAGCTTTTTGTGAATCATTCGTCGATCACAGGAGCGCTGTTTGATCAGGTGTTTTCCAGAAACAAGTTCAAAGTTCACCAAGTCTGTTAATAACCTATTTTTAAGACTCTTTGCTCTCGCGATTCTGAGTTGCTTAGCGCAAGGCAGCATACAGTCAAACGATCAAGCCAGCCGAGCCGATAAAGCCTGACCAGAAATTGCTACGAGTATAGTGAAGTCATTTTCTTGATGAATGCCGTTTTCTGGGTAATATGTCTCACAGCTGCGGCAATAATAAACCGCAAGGGTTCTTGTCATACCATGTTGGCCTTAATAATCGCCTATGGAGCTATGTTAGTGTTCACTATACGTATCATTTAAGAGGTACTTCGTGAATATTTGTCATTTTCCTCTAGCCACAGTGGCTTGCTCAGTGGGGACGGATGCTCTCTTGATCGCGATATCTTGTGTCGCGACATCACAGTTTACCAAAGCACGGGTATTCATCAACTCAGAGGGATGTACTGAGGATATTTTGACCCGTCAGACGATTACGTTTGTGGCAATAAACTCAAGGTCGTTTCGGCTTACAGAATCTTGTACTGTAGAACGACTTGAGGAAACCAGATGTGAAGACAGTGGTTGCATTAGTAGGAGAAGGGGATCAGTACATGCTGCATACGATTACAAATGGTGCACCGGCCAGGAGTGCAAAATTCCCAGACAGATTTCATTCCATGTCTTTACGTCATTTCGTACTGTCAACTGGTACGAATTCTGTGAAACACATATATATTTTCAAACTGAGCGGAAAAATAAGGGAGGAATGGTTGTCTGAATATAAACGACTGCGATGTACTTGTTCTTCCTAGAGGGGTACTACGACAAAGGAATAATTGCATTTCTACTACATTGGTTAGTGCAAGTTACTGTTTTCCAAGGATTGGTAGGAACATAGCACTAGAACGTCTAATGTGCTGCTGGCCTCACAAGAAAACCAATGATTGCTAGTTATTATGCTAAACATACCCATAATTTTAAAGCATAACCTGTATATAGCGACCGTAGCAATGGAAAATGTGAATTTTGTGGGCACCATTAAGTAACTTTTATCCATGGGATATAGCCTATTCGTATCCCAAATGGCCTGAATATTTCCCAACTAAATAGCTGTTAAGCAAGGCCACGATAAAAAGCACTGTGGGAGCGTCAGTGTTTCATACATTCTAGTCGCACACACGCGTAGCAGGTTTTGTAGCAGTGAAATAAAAATGTGCTTGTCTTATCCGACAGCTACCATTTGTGAAAACCACTCCGCTAAACTTGTTCAGATAGACGTGCTGAATAACCTCTCGGAACACCAGATTGTCGAAAAATCTGACAAGCTTGTTGATGATCAACATTAGTGGGTTAAGCGAGTACCTGGACGGTCTTATTCCCGTCTCACACATCTACAGTATCTAAATTCTATGGATGCTGTTCACTGATTTGGTGCCCTCCAACAAGATCGTTACTCAACAGTTAAGACAAAAGATATGTAGAAGCACAAAAGTCAACATCCGTGAGGTCCATAGATGCCATTTCGACCAAATTGAAACGAATAGTCCCAGTCCAGCAGATAACCTGCATCCCCAGACCGATAGCACCAGGGCACACCCTTCAACTGGCACAAATTTCTTTGATCTGATAAGGAGTGCCTCTGAATGTTCTGAATGGTCTCCTGGATTTCATTATAAACAAATCTGTAATTAGGTAATTTTGGAACAGAGTCCCATTCCAGTCACAGTGCTTTCTCTCTGGAATAACTTTCGCGCTCATTTGGACTCGTTCTGTTAGTGATTCAGAGAAGCACAGTATTATAATTAGGAACAGATTGTTATAACTTACTTTCTTTTCATATGTTTAATCAGTCTCCCGCAGAGAAAAGGGGCTTCCCTTTTGTTCTCTAAGGTTAGGCGTCATTTCGTTTCCACCTTTTAAAATGCATGCAGCTTTCCGTATTAGTTAAATTTTCCTCTCTTTCGTGGTGTTCAAGAAAATTTAGAGACTGTTCAACTCCCGAAACCGGTGTCCAAATGCTTTGTGAACTGCACCCATTTTTATCAGAAGATTTTGCCGTACTTTGCTACAGCATAGTCTAATTTAACGTCTCAAACGTGTACCAATTTCAAGACAGTTTAGAGTTTAACCTCATCGCTACTTGCTTGAGTACTTGATCGAAACTGAGCAAAAAAGGTTAGATAGCTTACCATCTGAGGATAATGGGGTTTGTAAAAGCATTTCATGAGGATCGATTTCATTTCCCGCATGTCTTTGCTTATCCACAATACGAAAATCGGCCAAAAGTCCTGACTTCATTATGGAGGTTGATTTGTTTGCCTTAAGTTGCATTTCGTTGGCGGACGGGTGGACATGACTGTCACCTTGGAAACTGGGAATTTTTCCTTGCCGAGGTAGCTAATGAAAAGTAATTAAAAAGTATGAACTTAATGTTTAACCAAAAGGTGAATGAATGCTTACTGTGCATTTGGAATTCAGTCTGGCAATTCAGAATCTTTTGAAAATGTCTCTTGAAAATACCCAAGTGAACCGTGAAAATCAGAGAGCACAATGACTAGTTATACTGTAAATCTGTGAGAAATGGGGTGTCCTTCGGTGTTTGTGTAACTGTTTCTAACCAGTCTTAGTATACTTGGTAACAGAATCAAATAATGATTCTTTCCAATTACATCAAAAAATCTTTTATACCACACCAGAAATATCATGCATCACAGGGCAACTGAACCTATCTACAACGACCGCCGACGGTATCGGTAATGAAATCCTTTTCAGAGGCGTAGACATTCTGGAGGCTGCTGTAGTCTGGAATGCTCTTGCAAGCTAAGGTCCACGTTGTTTTGATATCTTTATTGCATATCTCAAATAATGGAAACAAGTTATCAGGTTCTGGGGGCTAAAGTTTGCGGATGCCAAAATTTAACGATACCAGGTAGGTGAGGCCACTACTAAGAGACATATTGCGAACGTCGCAACCCTCCATGATAATCAATTCAAACTAATTAAACCAGTTACGTGATCTCTCAAATTTTCTGTTAATTACCCCTCAGTTTATCGAAACAATGCATTCCTCAAGTCTTCTGAAAAGGTATCCTCGGATAGAAACATTCTGTTAAGACAGTTGGAGGAATATAAAACAACCTGTAAACAGGTTGAAGATTTGTGTAAGTGCAGACAGCATTTTCTTCTGTTGATAGTATCAAAATCCGTTGTAGATCAGGCTTCTTCTACTATAGCATTTCTTTTTGCAGTTGAGTTATTATTGGTATTCGTGGCAGGCGTGATGAGATTCAGCAAATTCAATCCGGAATGTCATGCAAAATGATGCTGTTATTTTCCACTTTTGTTCACAGCTGATTGCGTAATCATATCCAAGAACGAATGAACCATTTCTCACTAAAGATTGACTCAATAGGTGGTCCCTTGATATAGTATGTTCGTCCCCAATGGACGAAACATCTTTCTGGCTAGCAATTTTATCCCTATAGGTAAAAGCTGGTGTAAGAAATTCTTTTACCTCATTAGACGCAGTATTTATTGGTGGTTTCAGTGGGTGGCACAAAACAAAGCTTGATAAAAATGTGATGCAAGTTTTCCCAATCTTTCCCCCACTCCATTGAGTTCGGCGCAAATCGGCTTCAAGCCTCGCCGACTAGAGCGGTGAGTACCAAGCTTGGTAAGGAGCTCGCATTTTCGCTGATGATCCTAAACACTATGAATTACAATTAGCAGAAAAATGCAAAATTTCCCCAGTGAATCAGTCGAAATCCTCAGCTTGATAAGTTTCAAAAGTAATCTTTACTAGCTCTAACAGAATACCTCCAATCCTTCGCTCGGATAACACCAGGAAGTGTATGGCGTTACAAACCGCGCAATTTTTGCACCGAATATCACCTTCACGAGCTTTTCATTCACATAATAGCAAACGGCATCGTCAATCATTTTAGCTACCTATTTATGAGTCACGCATAAAGACCAATTTGTCAATAATCAGTGGGATGCATGGCACATAGTAAGCTGAATATTTGTGACTACAGCTGAGTAACATTTTTCACGCCAGATCTCTATATGAAGAGTTACCGTATGTGATGTCCGTAATGACAGTGATGTGATGCCTAAATTTCTTTATACGTATTCTACAGACTGGGACTCTTTTCTTCCGAAGTTGTTATTTTCAACACGGGTACTAAGCAGTTTCACGACAAGAGAAGTCCGGTGAACCCCTCACAAATAAAACCCTTCTAGCATGCTAAAGGTTCTGTATATGACGTCATCCTCACGTGAGGTTCAGGCGTACTGAGTTCAAAATAGCAATATGGAACATTCACATCACCAAAGATATTGTACACTGGCAAAACTTCTATGCCTAATGGTGTACTTCTTCTCAAAATTCGGCTAACAGTTTCAGTCACACTTATCCACTAAACTGGGCTAACTTACCGATGAGATAGTGGCATCGAAATCTTCGGGATACCAGTCAATATACTGAAGCCAGCTGAGAAAAGATCGGTCTACGGCCAGGCTAACTGGTACAGCCACACGAGCCGCAGATGGAATTAATGGAGATGAACTCTTGCTATTGACGTTTTCGTCCGGTTGAACGACAAAAACAAGGGAACAAGGTTTAGGATGAGGACGAATGATTAACCCATCGTGGGTGCTTTTGAGGCGGAACCAAGCCAGAAGTCTCCCACCAGTTGCCTTGATTATCGTAGATGCTCCATCGTCTACAACTTGGAAAAGTGAAAAAAAAAGTAGGTGTAATTATCTGCAAATAGGCCTTTGGGTGTGTAGATGCTCCATCGTCTACAACTTGGGAAAAGTGAAAAAAAGTAGGTGTAATTATTTGCAAAAAGGCCTTTGGGTGTGGTAATCATAGAGTGGTAAAACTGAACAGGCGCTGGGCACACAATCACATCATTTGAGAACCATTGCAAGGCTGGCTGAAAATATGTTTGTTCATGTCTGTCATGCAAACTACGATGTCCATCTAAATTTCACCAACCTCAATCTGTTTGTTTAGGTTAATATGTCTCAGAACTCGCATGAAGGGCATTAGGTGGCCACAAGAATGTTCCTGCCTTTTTTGCTAACTAGCAGTGCATAGTCGCAGAGGTTGAGCAAATTTTTGGCTGGTTCTTCTTCTCTTGAGCGGTTCCGCGGATGATCATCAGACCTAAATTTTCAGCATCAAAGTACATTCCTGTGGGCTTAGTTTTGAATTGTTTTTTGTTATTACAACGCTTGCCTGAGCATAACACTGTTAACAGGGATAGGTTGGACAATTTTGAACAAAACTTCCAAAAATGTTCAAACCATTGCAATCAGCGCCACAGATTCAGCTTGTATAGCCTTCTTTTAACCATGAATCATTTGTCAGGGGACCCCAATGTCTGGAACTCTTTTGATCCACTGAGCATCAAACAGTCCACAGAGACGGCTTATCTACTGGATTTTGTGTCTGTACATGAGTAGCGTTTACATAGCTTAAAAGAGAATATGTAGATCCATCGATTTACAGGCAGACTCTCGGTGTTTAGTTTCAGATTTCGGTTCTTCTACACGCATTTCTCCAGTTTGTCGGAAGCCACACTCGTTTCGGCAACACACAGTCCCACCTAAAGTTCAGCGGCCAAATCAAGAGACAGTGTTCTCTCAAGGTAGCAGAATTCCACAAGGTACTTCACGAATTCCGGTTTAGCCGTGGTTTGCAGAGGACTCCTTGAGAATCTACCTGGTGCAGGTTTGCGCATAATGGACTTCTCATTCGATTCGACGTGCAGGCTAAACTGCGCAGCGGTTACAAACTTCTGAGATGGGCATTGCGGCCCATAATACGTATGTCTAAACAGGCGAAACATGATAACTGGAATACACTTTTCACGGAGCAGACTCTTTGCACTGAAACGTCGAAGATAAAGCAAATGCCAGTGAAGCCGATGATTGTACTGCGTTTCACTGGCATCGCGCGCTAAAGCATCTTACAAGATGGCTGTAAAGTGTCAAGTTATCGTAAACTCACTCTGTCCATGCGGAATGTCAATCACAAAAGGGCAGCGAGAAGGAGTTATCTGCTTGCATTCCGTTGGAGTGGTTTGATCATGGGCACACCAACACACGGAAAGTTTACATTTAGGTGGTAAATCTTGGTAGACCAGTTCAATGGGAAAACAAATTTCGAAGTCGGGCGGCACAGGCGGCAGAAGTATCCGGGATGGAGAACAACGAATGCTGGGTTTAGTTACCCGAATAATGAGTTTGAGGTTCGTGAAAGGAGTGAATCTGCTAGAGGCAGTCTGATTAGTCTTCCCGTCCGTTACATCTTCTGGTGATTTCAGGATTAGAAGAGGTACGTGGAGAATAAAACAGCCGGCCTTTCCTGAGGGGAAAAAACAAAATAGATGCTTAAATAATTGTCTTAATAACGGGTTCATTACTCATAAAGCATTTTTCACTTCGAAAAAAAGACTGAATTGTTTGAGGTGCTATGAATCCGGCAAGCCTACTGTTAGTATGTCAAAGTAAGGATGTTCATACCTTGAAGGAACAGATTTCAGCCAGTGAGTTGAGGCGTCTATGAATTGCTAAAGCGCAACCACCACAAAAGTGTGACAGCTTTCGATCATTATAAATGTAATTAAGCTCCCAACAGAATAATTAATAGTATGCAAAATTCGTCCTGATGAGAAGAGCTTCAGAAATTCAATCAGACTACCTTTGATAATACCACCGTTTGTCCAAGTTCAGTGGACCCTAGGTTCACAAAAGCTACTTATCTACGTATGATTCCAGAAACATGGGATTTGAAAAGGCGGCAGCCTCGCTACCTTCTTACACTTCCCAGAATGTCTGACAAGGAAGAAAGCGCCTCGGAAATCTTATGTTCTTTGTGCATAGAACCGGAGTGTCGGTTTGTCAATCAGATGAAGTTAGTCAATAGTTGAGTTCTGAGTGGCGATACTCAAGCAGCTGGTAATATGAACATTCTGAAGGTTACTGATCATAAAGAACTTACTTCTGGACTGCCGTACTTACTTAATGACAGAAAACTGGCGCAAACGGTTTTGCGATCGACTTTTAAGGGTGCGCGCCAAATTTTTAGACATTCATACACATACTTAAGATGCAGAATTTGCATTAAATTGGTTACTGCATGCTCATTTTGACTGGAATTTCTGTAGGAATCAAGAATTTTATGAAATGGTTATAAATAATTCACAGGAAGACTGTAAAAACCAAGGATGAATGAATACTGCAGTTAAATATGTTTCCGACAGTGCATCCAGTGAAATCCATGTAGCCCTGTATTTGTTACGTGCTTCTTTATTCAACAGTGAGTCCTCTGCAAATACTCACTTGACGACGAAAAAGCAGTCTACGGCTTAATTAGATACAATAAGAGTAACTTTGTGGTTCCCTGAGTAAAACCCAATTAATGAAGGTTACATGGCAAGAAACTACCAGATTAGCACCCGGCAGCTTGTTGCACCTAGCCTTCGACGTGCGCATGAATGCAGATCAGTGCATTTATAAGCCCTATGCTTACCAGCCGGTTTTCAATCAGTCTGGAAGCGCAAGAAATAGAAACTACCGTGTATATGTCAGTTTTCCTCTGTCTTCGTTGAAAATTGACCATTCTACTGATCAGCTTCTCATTCGTACGGCTGGTCTTCCAGCCTACACACAACCTACACTTCTAGGTTTAAAACTTCGGGTCAAAACTAAGTCCAAGAGCAACAACCGGGGAGATGAAGATTAGGACTCATGATCATAAATTGTTGGACAAACAGGGGAAAAATTGGAAGGCTTAGGTTGTTTGCTTTGTGAGATATTGCCTCAGAATCACTCACGTGGACTGAAGCGGATGGTAAATCTTTCTTCATCAGTAGAGTTTGAAAAGGAGCCGTCAATGAGTTCATCAAGTGTTGAAGTACTCCCTTTGTCTCTATCAATTGAAATAATTCCCAGCTTCCCCTTGTTGAATCGTTGCACTTCGTTTAGGTCCAGTGTCCAGAAAATTGGCTGGTCTCGAACCGCCTTGATACTGAATGACTTTTGTTCGAAAAGTAAGGTAATTGATCAGATTGTGGTATTGGTGATGGCATTAAGGGATCAAAGGTAATCACAGTGAACACAAATACATACCTGCATCATCCTCACAAACGGATCCTGAATATGTTAAGTGGCCCCCGCATAGGACGAATAAACTGTACAAAACTGTTACGTAGCAACGCATTTTATGGCTAAGATAAAGATGATCGCTCAGCTGTAATACCCTTTTGGTGCCTAGCTGCTGTTTCGCCCAAAGCAAGCACGAGGACTGGGATACTGCCAGGTTGCCAAAGCCCAGACAGGCGAACGTGAAAGGCAGAGGTTGGGTTCGAACCACGGACCTTCCGGCCAATAAATCCCCGCTCCAATCACTGAGCCATCTCGCCCCTTGTGGCTAACATGACTACCAGAAGGCAAGTTCATTTGATACTTTGGAGAATCTGTGTAAGCTGTCTAATGTAGGCGGTTGGGTCAGCCGGCTCAGGACAACTGCCGACCGTAGAATTTTAGATAAATGCAATCCTCATATCTCACTAGAAATGAAGTCGGAGAGATGATTTTTGATTTTGATTTGATGTCACTTGCTTCCATTCTCCTAATAATTTTTGCGCAGAAGTGTATTCATTCCTATGATTTTGGAAGCTTCAAAGTTATAGTTTTGGCGAGACTCCACCATAAACGCATAAAGTATGCGTTATGATGAAATGGGTACAATACCCAGGGAAACATTGTATGATATAATACGGGGTACAGTAAAAATTACTACAGATGTAAAAAGCTAATTCATGCTAGGGCTCATCTGGACTGGGACACACATAGCAGGTCTTACGCAAACAACAGAAGGGGTTTGGCGGGCATCAGCCAAGGAGCCTTCTTATTACCCATTCATTTAGTCTGCAACATATGGGTTTTAATTAAATTAATGAACCAATGGAATACTCCCGATCAGATTCATGTCACCTGAAGATGTTAAAAATACAAGCGCGATCATGAAATAGTGATTTCCTTCTCAAAAGTCCTTAAAGGAATGCTCGGAACCGGTTAAAATTCGTTGTCCTCAGATAAAAGTACGACAGGCTCTGGACCAGTTAAATTTACGTTGTTTTTACATATTTCTCACTGAGTGCCTTTTCCCAATCCGAGTATTATCATTCGGGTGTTTAGTTGCACCGTAAATGGTTGACTGGAAACAAACCAATAAGCTGAAACCAGACAGGCCCTCACAGTTAACGAAGCTGGATTTTAGGAGAGCGATTTGTTAGATCAGTGCTTTTCGTTTATTTTTGCATTGGTTTGCAATATGGGCGGATGAGTAGACCGGGACACCTGTAGTTATACAGACAGACAGCGGTTTAGCATTACATCATTTCGTAACACCTCTAACAGAGAGCTTATGAGATTTATTCGAAGATTGATCAGAGATTAGCTAGCCCAGTGATTACTTTGACTGATGTTCAGTTCATGAACTGGCGTCCTCAGAAGAAGCGCTCAGCGTCCGCCAAAAATGCACCAAATTGGTATGCGTGTGAAAGTAAACTGCACATTTTCTGCGGGATTTGACCATGCGTTTGGTCTCAAATTGCTTTTCTACTTCATTTCAGTTCTTTGTGACGGACTCCAGAAAACTTGCACTTTTAATATTAAGAAATTAAGTGCAAAGCAAAATATGTCTATCTTATGCTTCTTACTTTGAGTAATGGAACCGCACTACTTGACCAGATTTCATTCTTTGGTGTCACATTGTGGCAGGACGCTTAACAGATGTCAGTTAAAATAAATGGTACTCCAGTGTGAAAGCAAGATTCATTGTTCCTTTTATCGGTCATATGAACTCAGGGCTTAAATGAATTAACTCATCTTGAGTAACTCGATCACATTTCCAACACTGCTAGATTGTTTTTAGTGAACAATTAATGAAAACTTGCTACGCAGGATAGATATGGAGATACACTTTAGGAGTCCACTTTACCCGCATCAGCTCAGTTAAGCAGCAGTTGAAATACGTGCACAGAGGACGGATTAGTTGGGGTCCCACGTTTCACAGTGCGCTTTGTTTCCTGACTTATCGGTATGACATCTGAACTTTATGCATGACCTTAAAATGTAAGGTGCAACTGGTCGCTACTTCGACAAATCTTATGGTAAATCGGGTGAGGGCGACTGATAGAGTCTATGTGGGACTTACCGCGGTACGCTTGGAGGCTGGTAACCTGAGAGTATGATTGAGCTATCTGGTTTGAAAACGCTATTATAGACGTTTATTGTGGAGGAAAATAAAGTCGACGGAAAAAATTGTGTATTCAAATCCCCACGGAACATTCCATCCTAATAATGAAAACCCAGGGGTCATCTCTCCAAACAACAGTCCAGGACACCGGGTCGGGGAATTAGCGTCTCGTTCCAGATTATTCACGCTCAGTTCGGTAAACAAACGGCCATTAAGTATACCTGTACCATACGCAATATTGGAATTTCTCAATCTTAATTTCTACCCACCCGAAATGAGATTCTCAGGTTGCATTTCCCCATAGGTCACGACCAAACATTCCGTGTACTGACAGACTGCTAGTATATGCTGAAAATCTTTTCCCGTATCAGGCATGATCCATAGTGAAGATCTTTCTGTCTCTGGCAGATAAGACACGTTTGTTCCGTGCCCACCGCTGGGTGCATATTGTGCGGACCTAAGGGATATTTATCGACTGGATTATTGAAATATCCTTATCGGCAAGTGGAACTCTTTCATGAGCCAACATGATTCTTGTGCGCTTTGATGCCCAATTTGTGCACCAGGTGTACAATTTAAAACAAAAACCCGATAAATATGCTGACAAGTTCATTTGTCAGTAGTCATTCAAAAGGCTAAAATGGTACGGATGAGTTTTTCATACCCACCTGCTGTTGCTGTGTAATGGCAACTCCAGGGGTCGTTTCGAGAGGAAAGTTGAATTGCACACATCTGTCGACGGGGTAGATATCGACTGGTTGTCGAAGCCCAATAGCCAAAACTCTGTGTGAGATATCGTGGGAAGAGCAGTGCTTTGTTACACTTCCGTCCGACTGCTCCTGAAATGCTGACACGTTGTTTATTTTCACCGGAAGACTGAAGTCGTAGACAGCGACCTGAGACATTACAAACACAAGTATAAGTTAAGACAAAACTTAGACGGCATGGGTTGCTATATGTAAGCGCATGCTGTAAGGCAGTGTTTCCTACAATATGACTGAAAAGTGTGAACATGTAACAGTGGAAATTTTGACAACGTGGAGCGGTGCCTACCCTCTGTATTGGTGCTCAATTAGCATGCGTTTTCTGTCTATCAAAGTGTCCAATCAAGATATCACACATTCCATCCAGTTAGCCCTCATCAACATCCCCATGTAATCCAATCCAGTGCAAATCACTACGAGAGGTGGATGAACTTGGCCACTTTCTATGTGCGTACAAGTGGGTGTGTACACTATGCTTAGGATATGCCTCCGTTTGTTGTTCCGCTGGCTGAGGCGTCATTGTTGAGATCCCTGCTTGAAATCTAGCTATTGTGCCAACTGAAGTGTGCTGTAAGTTCAGGCCAGCTAGGCGAGACTTTGGCGGTTGCCGCGGTTCGGTTGTGTAGTGATCTCTGAGCAAGCCCATTCTACGTGTGATCACTCTGATCCCTTCTTGCCACCGGGTCTGTTGGCCGATATGAAGGTTTTTATTACGGAAATATTGGAGATAATACTAGGAAAGTTTAAGCTCAGACCTAATGGAAAATTCAACAGATTTCAACAGAAAATGGAAGCGTCCAATAGAAGCTATAACCAGCGATTTTGCGTGAAACAGCCAAATCAGACAAACTTTTATTCAACCTGCCCAACAGAATCTTATCGTACAATAAGAAGCACTTGATAAAAAGAGAGCTGAATTTCACCTCTACCCGTAAACCGTAAAGTACTCATAGCTATAGAGCCCGCACTCTTGCAGCTCCCGGTAGAGAGAAAAGAAGTCAGATTAGGTGTCCGCAATAGTTAAAAAAAACAAGGACGAATCTGAAGCAACCTGTCACGGGAGGAGATAGGTCCACTGAAGTCACTAGAGAAAGACAATACATACACGTCACCAAAGGGGACAAGGACAACTTATTGGTTGTTGTGAATCGAAAGGACAGTGAAGACAAACTGCTCGTACATCTAGCACGGCGCGCTTACGAGAAGATCGAATCGCAGAAAGAAAGTCCAACTCTCAACAAGACCAAACTTTGGGTTAGCGTGTGGGTACGCCAGCTAAACCCCAAGCCCGACCAAGTGTGGTGGTATACACTTACGCCAAAATTCAGTAGACCTAAAACATTCCACGGGTTTTCAAAGATGCACAAAACGGGTACCCCCGTACGTGAACCATACTAGTTCTTAAACCTAAAACTTAGTTTTTGGGCCCGTATTATCAGCTAGTGAAAAGTAAGGTGAATGACTCAATTTTTTAAAGTAAGCATTCTCCAGTCTACCCACATCAGTGGAAATGAAACCGTAATCAGCTTCAATGTGACGTCTCTTTATATTAAGTTAATGATTGATGGCTGTTTATCTTTTCTGTCCTCTGTTTTGTGTGGTGATACATCTCTAGCATAGATATCTGCCTTATCCCCTATTAATATTATTAGTGGCGTTGAACTGTGCCTATGCACAATTTATTCCGCTTTTCAAAATTTACAATACAGACAAACTGTCAGTGTATCTATGTGCTCTACAGTATCACGCATAGTGGCCAATCGTTTCTTGCATCATGTTAAACTAAGTGACTTTGCTCATCCACGACGCACCTGGCTTTGATACATTGACGATATGTTTGCGATCATATCAGCTGCACAACACAAAGCATTCTTAAACTAGTTGAACGAATAATCTGTTAGTATCAACTTCACGATGGGAACTGAAAACCAGCAGAGGACTATTTATTTCTTGGTTTTCAAGTTATCTTTTAACACCATCAAACACATCGCGTCCACACTACGTCAAACGTGCATTTGTCGGATCTTTGGTGAATGGTGTCAAGTTACTACGCTCGGATGAATCCATAGAAGCAAGTGAACTTAAGTGACCCAGCAAGATATTACAGGAAAATAACTACCCCATAAAGCTCAATGCTCAACAAATGGAGAGGAGACTGCCCGGAGTGGTGAGGCCGAGGGACGAGAACCAGATGACCGCCGTGGGAATATTTTATAGCAATGGCTTTTCAGGCGCCATTCGAAAGGCACTTCACAGTGGTGATAGTAAACCATTCTTCCGCACTGATAGCACTTTACAACGACACCTCGTAAGGGCTAATGGCCCTGTTGAACCGCAACAGATCACAAATTGCTTCCACCAAATTCCCTGCGCAGAATGTCCGACTAGATACATAGACGAGACAGCCAGGCAACTCCATCTGCGAATCGTAGAGTAGAGACAACATACGCGTTTTCCTCCTCGAATTCCAATCGAGTTCAAAACACCTGAAGACGATTCAGTGATTGCATCCATCGAGTCATCAAATCAACTTCGGTGGCAGACGTGTACTGTAGGCAGGAATAAAGTCAAACGTGGAACCGGCTTGCTCTGAAGCCTTAGAGAGAATACTTTCTTAAACAGATGAAGAAAGTTGCTAATGATCAAAGTAAACTATGCACTGTGCAGAATAAGAGTAACAATTAACTGGACCTGTGCACAAATTCCATGCTAATAGATGTACAGAAATAAGACACACACAACGGCTACCGGAAGACTTTGTGGCATCTTCTTGTAATCACAATGTAAATGCGGTGCTGCAACACAGTCCTAATCGGACGAAGCCTTTTTCCGATTGTACGGTGCAGTGTCAAACACGTAGATAACAGTCCACAATAAAAACTATGCCTGAAAGTAGAACGCTTGTGCTGTTTGTTGTATTCTCGCTACTTACATCAGTCGGACTGAAACGTAAATGGCCATTCCATTTGGTACCCGGACTGAGTTGAATATTAGTGCAAAGGTTCAGTTCGTTTTCCATTGTCGACGAATTCCCATTTGTCGACTGTGTCCCATTAACAAAAAGCTTGTCGAAATTGTCTCCTGAAGCACACTGTGTGATGGAACAAATCGGGCTTCGCAACTTCCGTGGGCTGCTATCGCTGTCTGGAGAAGTATTCGGAAGTAACCTGAAATCTGGATACTTAGACAAGTTGAAAGTCAGCACTGCCTCGACGGGGCCACAGTTTTCAAACTCGAGTGGAACAGTCGCTGATCCACCAACATAGACACCTGAAAATGTGACAAATCAAGAGCGATAGCATTTTGTGTACTTCCTCGCGAAATAATAAATTATATTATATATACATATATATATTATATGAGTAGTACATTACATATATACTGCTCTACTTTGGAAGATCGGACGCTTCTAAGAAAAAGGAAACCGTCCACTTAGTAGAGATGTTTATTGATGACACGAGTCTCGTTGACTTAAATGCTACCTTCCGAGAGGTGTGGAATTCTTAGCACCATTTAAAGCAATTTGAAATTGTTTTAGTGCTCACGAAAAAATATTGAGCTCTATTCGAAGCGCTGTCATACCACGAGTCTCGTTGACTTAAATGCTACCTTCCGAGAGGTGTGGAATTCTTAGCACCATTTAAAGCAATTTGAAATTGTTTTAGTGCTCACGAAAAAATATTGAGCTCTATTCGAAGCGCTGTTATACCAAACTATATATCTCTGTGTACAGGTGGGAAAATTCCCGAATCCGAAAGGGATAAAAGAGAATGGCGGAAGTTGGTTAGCATACACTCAACACTTTAAAAACTACTGACAGTAAGGCTCACAAGAAATATTTTCATTAAATGTCGTAGCCTGCTTTCCACAATATGTTATGATATGCCCAAACCCTTTCTGATATTCTCTCCAATAACCTCAACCAAGTTGCATCTTTCACACTTTAGGTGAAAAAATACAATTTATTGAAAAAAATTTTCGAACTGCGTGCTCTAGTACCTTAGTGGTAGTTGATACATCTACAGGGTCTTAGCAATGTGAGGAGATTGTGCTCATCGTTTAATTGGTTGTTTTACAGTTGGTGCCTTCCCTTATCGCGTTTTGCTGTCTTTAGAATACCTTACTTTCATCAGATTTGTTCTATGTTCTGATCGTTGATTTCGCCTCCGGTATTGAACCTTTATTTACCTTACATTCCGTTAGTTCATCCAAAAATCAATTTTTAGCTTTCGTCGCTTGGGCATTTTGGTTCAATTTTGTTATATTTGGTTACATATGTGACAGTAAAACATCTTTGGTTGTTGTTGATGTGCTGTGCATCTAAGCGATCATGCGGGTAGATTGATCTGCTCGATAGAACAGTGTAGTTCCGGGAATTCTAGGTTACATTACAGTCTTGCGTCATGCTTGGTTCTTTGATTATGCCTTGATCTAGTGAGCATTACACCCGAGCAGTTTTGGTTTCTGACCAGCGTATAATCTTGGAGGCTCACCAAACGCTCGCATGATTTGGAGTAAGGCACCATCAAGCTAAACACATTGTTAGGTATGAAGTGGATTAAAAAATGAATAAATCTTCGTGATTCAAATGCTTGGAGTTTGATTCAAGTACAATACGGTCGTGAAATGGGAAGAAATCAGTGTAAGCTGGCGAAGGCTGATGCCTAATATGATCCTGGGAGTGGTTTTCTGACCAGAGGGCCCAGAGAGAATAAAGGCTGCTAACGCTGAAATGTGGTGGCTTGAAATATGGAACACTACCATCAGTCAGTCGTAGACAGAAATACGTAGCAAGATGAAATTTGTCATTACCTACAAAATAGACGTGGATTATGCCATCAATAAAACGTTTTTCTACAATACCATGACTGCTTTAGTCATAAATTGCTTTCCACACAACTATGACTTGTTATCTAGAGCAACGTATTGTGATCGCTCCCCAGACCGTAACACACATGACATGACCCTGGGATTTTTTTTTCGCGCTTATTTATCGGCAAATCGTACCAGTGTCTTTTTTCGTATTTTGGCTTGACACTGTATGGGTTCAGTAGGCTCACACGGAGAACGGACTACAACGGGCAGTACGGTAAGCCTTACTGATTTCCAGCCATAACTGCGGCGTATAGTAAATCAAAACGTTCACATAATTGACTGTTTTTATCTCCGAACTGCTCAGAAATCCGGTATAGCAATTCTCGATAGCCTTCTGGCTCAAATTTTTAATAGTTGTGTAGGTCATGGAGGAGGAGGATCGTGAGACTGCAGACAAAGCAAAAGGCGGCTTGCGTTAAATTTTGATAAACTGAGTCATTCCTGGCGATCCTTGCGACGAACACTGATACATCTGGTTTGCACCCTTTCGGTGCCCCTATTGATTGTTCAGGCGATGGAGCAAAATGTCGCAATTTTGGGGAGCTACCCGTGACGCAACGATAAGGTTTGTGCGCATTCATTATATTAGAGACGAGCCGTTCTGACGATGAGCTATGGCTGGCGTTTTCGTAAGCCGATACCTTGCTAACAAACAGCGTCCTTTGTCTGTTTAATGGCTAGCATTTGAAACAGAATTGTGCGGAATGTCAAGTGGACGACTACAAATGGGAGTCCACTGATAATTGATCATGATAGGTCAAATTAAGTTGAAACAGAAGTTATCTAAATAGACACAAGTATAGGGGACCCGGACGCAGTTTACCCGGACTCTGAGCACTGTTGAACCTAGAGAGGCCAAGAGACCTTCTAAAAGACCGTGACCATGCTCTTGAATGTAGGAGCATGTTTCACTTCTCTTCATGCAGGAGGATTACGAGGGACACGAATCCAACTGTAACAACATCTATGTATATATATACCAAAACAAGGACAGAGATGCACCATAAATCTGACCTGATCGATCAACCTCTTTAGCGAACAGGACTCCACAACCAACAGGCTGCGAACTTTACAAGAAATGGAAGAAATCAGCAGGATATATGAGGGGGGTTGAAATCAACGGACAAGCTTAAGCCGAGTAGGCATAAATGAACAACGTAGTGGTCGTAAATAATCGAAAGCATGACCAGTCGCCTGAAAATATGATTGCAAAAATGAGGAGACGTTGAGTTAAGATAATACACAGTTAGAAGGGGTCAGTAAAATGTAAGAAAGGGGACTGAGGTAAATTCTTCCTACTGATAAACCAAATATCAAGAAGACGGAACGCAAAATAAAAGAAATCAAGAATGAAACCACTGTTTAACCAGAATACTACCCACTCACACACGTTAGCAATATCAGATTATTTTGCGTAGCCCTGTAAAATATTTAACTAAAGCGGGGACTCAGACAGCTCTGGGAACGTCTCTCCAAGAGATCTCCTGGGTTTATTTTTAGAAATGTGACACTCCTGAAAAAAGGTGGGCAAGATGACCCGAAAAACAAACGCATCTGCGCACCGATGAAATCTCCTTGATTAACGACAAAATATATGTGGCCCAACTGCCAAGCTAAGCAAGCTTACATGACTAATTAATCAGCAAACAGTTTTTGAGCTGTAAACTCAAACAAATACCATATTCTTTGGCAATATCTGATCCTTGCTTGTCTGATGATTACTCTGCTTCTTAACCCTCAGTTTAAAACAAGGGACACAATTTGACATACTTGAGGCCGAACAATGTGTTCAGAACAAGTGATATGGACATATGTTTTCAGGTAGCTACGCGGAGAGATGATGAGGGTCATTACCTGGATGGACTGGCTGTGGTCGTAGAATATTATGATGAAGTTGCAAAAGGTACATTGTAAAGCCCATGTGTGGAATCATGTGAGCCTTAAACTGCCACGCGCTATGTTATATGTGTTGTATCAGAAAACAATTTCGAGCGTGGGAGTGACTATAAACAGACGAAATCAAGCTTTAGATTCTCTTTAGTGTTCGATTTATATTCTTATCATGATATACATAAAATCCCGCAATTTTCTCCAGCTCACCACTTGTCTTGGTTGTCTTTGCCCACAAGCTTTTGAAAGTGAATCGTTCTAGAATCAGCCATCCCTCTTCAGGAGGAATAATTAACATCCCTGTGGGTTCACCGTTCGGTGCAAAACAATTCTGTGAAACAAACCCCGCTGAACCATCAAAGGTTGAATTTTAGCGAAACAGCTTGTTGACCTCAGATAGGAAAGCACTTGTTACACTTTTCACTTAAACGGAATGTAGAAATATCCACAAAAGAAATTCAAAATATGAACTAAGGATAAAAAGTAGTGAAAATTAGCATTTTTGACTAGATAGCTCACTTAGCACTGTACAGTCTATAAGGGTTAAAGAGTCGCCCATTGGTCAAGCATATTAAGCGTCAAACTACGTTGGAATGATAAAGTAATACCGTTTTTTTTTCAAAACTGAGTGCTCCGTAATGAACGTCGATATGTCTGGTTTGACACTTGAGCAAATAAGGTGCGCAAACCTGGTCACAATGTAGAGGGGCATACCGTTAAATTGCAATAATGTTGTTGAAGAACGAATTTGTGGCGTCATCACCGTGCCGCTAATGCAGCAGCTTGTTTTCCTTCCCCCACGTCCATGGAGTACGACAATTTTTTCAAACTTGCCGATGGAGTACGGCGTGCATACCACCTGGAGAGAAAGACAGAATAAATTGTCACGGAAGGAGTGCTGAAGCAGTACAAAAGTATCGGCTGTTACTACGAGTAATCACAATGTTCCTTTTTATTGATTGTAATTTTCGCATTATTCATCTGTGTCAGTACCGCAGTTTTTATCCCGCTTCCTGACACTTACATGCACTTCAAAGGAACCATTGCTCTGCAGCACTGAGAACATTTTATCTCCCAGAATTGGTCCAATCTATAGTCATTATGACTATAAGATCTCGAGATGCAAAACAAGTACATCCAAAATGCCATAAAAAAAGACCTCTATTCGCTGGAATATTTTCCACTTTCGAACTATGGCTTTACCGGGCTTTTGTATGGCTGGGCTAAATACCAAAACAAGATTCTGGTAAGGCATTTATTGACCCTCTAAGTGCTCTTCTCCTAGTTTTATGAAGCGTTACTTCAAGTGAAAACGCTGTGAGATACCAAGGGTGCATGACGTTGTATAATTTGTTGCTTTCTGAACTAAATACCACAATTACCTTCAGTCAACCAGCAGATTGATTCATGGGTCGATTATTGCGTGAATAGTTCCCAAACGAGATGCTTAGCATTAGGGTCGGGTTAGTACGGTACGGTAGAATAAACACATGGTGAGAAGATCAAAAAAGAATAACTAACCTCTAAGTCCACATGGCCTCCGGCAGGTATTTCAAAATCAACTGGTTTTATGGAGCAGTCAACATAATCATATGAGCTTTGAACCACTGAATGTTTCGGTTTTACCTTATCGTCCACACTTATTCGACAAAATGCGGGCGCATTGCCCACACTGTTAATTCGCATAATTCTCTTAACCGGGAGAGCATAAGCAATTGATCCAAGACTCAGGTTACTCGCAGCAAAGACAGCCACACTTGGAGGCAGTTTGACAACACAGAGGAGATCCACTTGTTCACATACGTTGAAGTTGTGTAAGGTAGGCATTACAATGTTGTTATCCGGTGGTTCATCATGCACCTTCAAGCGAAACGTCTGTTTCTTCGGTGTGTTGAATGATGGATGGTGAACTACTTCACAAACAAGATTGGAAAAGGGTTCCACGGTGCCTGCAGTTGGGAAATTTTAGTTATGACTCGTAGTTTTGTGAATTTTACCTAGGTAGTGCATCTATCATTTTAGAATAAAGAAACCGCGGTTAGTCCTTTAAACATACACAAATTTCTTGGACACATAGAAACAACGAACAATTTCCACTTTATCGAGGCTTGATTAAAAAGGATGCAAAACGTCAGTCACAGGAAGGGTGAATGCCAGAAATTTTAGTGGTCCAGTTTTGTTGAATTAAACAAATTTCATATCTTGTTTCAAGTTATTCATGGACCCCTGGCAAAAAGAATCGCAACAACAGCAAAGTGGACAGCTTTTAAAACTACGGGCTTATCAGTTGCTTGTCGACTGAAAAAAATCCATACAACTTGTTTTTCAGTTTTATGGCTGCAGGCAAGCTATCCCGCAGAACCTGTGAAGTGAATATTCGATGCAATATATAATTAACATCCAGAGTCAGCAGTTAAAAGGTCACGGTCAGTCTTAGCGACATATTACCAATCAGAGCATCATCAGTGGTTATCGATTGTTCATTTGTTTACCGCTGTCCACCAAACTCTTTGGACCGCATGACACTGTCCGACAGGCTTCGCAGGCTCAAAACAAGCTCCTAAAGTACTAGGCTGACTAGACAGGTTACCGTGTAACCATAAACTGCCCAGTCGATGAAAATCATCAAGGGAACCCAGTAGAATCGCTACAGTTCACGAGTGTCATCAATAATTTCGTCGAAGAGCGTTAGACAAATGAGCTACTCAACCTTGTGCAATGCTGCTAAATTAGTGAGATTACCTCAGTCTGTCAAATAAGGTGAACACGAAAGACACGTAATTTTCTTCGTCTCAGAGCATTGAAAAAAGGACAATGAATAAGGATAGGCACAGATATATATATGATATTTTCTCAATGACACTCATGAAGTCGAGGGTTCGCTGCATGATTACGAATCCACCGAAAGGAGGTAAACTGTTACGTTGACTAGTCCAAGACAACTGAAATTCGAACTGGGGTTCAAACACGTAGGGAGGGCTTCGAACGCGATATTGGTGCGGTCTCAGCATATCACATGGCAAGCGAGTTTCAGCGACATAGATTAATATTAATTTCCGAAGTACGGTGAACCCACAAGATTACGTCCCATCTCCCCAAATTATCCCGGGAAATACTGTGGCAGCTAGAACTATTGTATGGCAGGAACGCGGTTTTTACAGCTAGTGATAATGAGCAGCTTTTGTATGCGTCATTCCCAACAGGTTGCAGCTCCGCATGCCATAAGTTTAGGGAACTCATTTATTCTGTTGTGCAAAATGCTCGATGACTGTGTAGTTTGTCACACTTAGCGGGAGCTGGCTAAGACGAATTAGTCACTTTTGACCGAAAAGAACTGTACGTTTCACTATACCACGATTTCCTACTGTTTAGCGACCTAGGATACTGGTATTTTTGTACATTTCAGGAAACAATTCTCACCTACAGGGTCGCTCGTGTAAATTTAATACTGGTTTTTGCTGAGTCTCCTGAGGAAACGTTAAGACTAGTGTTTCTTCCTAGGGTCAATGCCGGCAGTTTCATATATTCAAAAACATTTGGAGATGTACATGAAACCGCTGTTGTTAACAATGTCGACAGCACGTTGTGTTTGTATTTCAGTAGGTTGAAATCACGTAAACACATAGGAGGATGTGACCATGTAGGTTTACTTCCAACTATATATATATATATATATATTCAGCGGAATACTCAGACATGTCAGTGTGTTATCGGCTACCTCCTAATGTCGCAGTAAGGGCTGGATAGGTGCTTGAGAACATCTGCGTGTTTACCGCATCTTTGGCCATCACCGTTGTCCATTAGGCAAACTGTACTCTATCAGCAATGTTCCTCTACCGTCTTAAGTAAACTGATTAACATCAGAAATCGTCATTGTCCAGTTGTGATACTTGCCAGTAAGGCGAATTCAGCATCCTAAAGCTTTGATTTTGTTGCAAAACAGTAACAGTTCTTCAAAAAAACTGGCGCGAAAAGAAAAACAGAATATTCAGTCAATCGGAAAAAGTTTGCAGTCGATTGAGAAGTCATCGTTTCAGAAAGCCTTGGTAAACAAACCGCACTCACCACCAACAATCGTTAATTGACACCCAACACTGATCTAGTGCGCTAATATGAAGATGTCTTACTCACTGGTTCTCCGTTTGCTTTAAAACCTGACCAACTTGGTGACCTGCTCATTTGGTCTGATAAAGCTTTTGTTACAAAAGCGAAACAATGCCCAAGTTAAAAAATACGGATTGTTTACCAAGCCCCTTCTGAAGAAAAGAATACTCTTCGATACCACCAGCGTACGCAGGCGATCGGTTGTCTCGCGTGGTGCCACACTGGTAAAAAGATGAAATTCCGCATGGTGCGTGCGACCTTTGAGGCTAAGATTTTCGAGCTCGTCACCAAACACTTTTCCAAAATTTCAACCACTCCAAGAAAAGGTTTCAAGGCTTCGAATAACGATCACGTCAGGTTATGTTGGAGGGAGTTTGATAGTGTTGAAGAAATTCACTGAGTACCTGATTTACCGGGAAATGACGTTTATAGAAAAAACCCATCGTTCCACCTGTAAATAAGTTTTCATATTTATTCACAGCCACGTCAGTTAAATAAAAATGAAATCGTCCTTCGAAAAAATCTGAGAGGTTTTGGAGTTTCAATAAAGATTTCAACTTCCAAGTAAAGCTTCCCTATGCCTGAAACCCAAGACTTCTGTAGGACTGTTCCATCGTTATAGAACTGTGTGCATCGCAAAATTTCAAGCAAAAACTGGAGGATACCACTGCAACACCTGTAACATTCACTTGTACCCTGGGAGGATGTAGCGTTAACTACACAATTGATAACCTTATTGATCAGAGGCCTGGAATGGGCTTTGCAACCTTTAGTCCGGGAGCATCTGAGAAACTGATGTACACAGTTCATACGAGTCTCAGCCCATCCGATTAATGGTAAGATTTTAAGATTTCAAAACCTTTGTGAAGCTTTTTGCAACCAGCTATACCCACAATGTTTGTTTCACAATCGATGATCTCATCCAATCAATGACTGGGACTTCTGCTCCTTGACCTTCATCTTGACGTCCTTCGCATCTCAGCTTAGTAGCCGGAAGTTGCCACGTGCGCCTTATTCAGAGTGCAAAAGAATAATACTGAAGACGCCCAGCGAGTTTCTCTGTCAGAACATCCTCAAAGATGGTAACTTCTAAAAAGTCGCCATCGACGGTGAACACGACGAACTGTTTTAACTGGCAAAATCATCTCACAAACTTCCGCTATTTTCGTTGTGGAAGAAAACACAGTGTCAACACTTTTATATCAGCCGTATTCAGTTTAAAGCGAAAGTGAGAATTTTAAATAAAGAACTGCATATACTTGGGTTGGTGTCTCCGTTTGCCTTGTTGAATACAGGGAGGGATAAAGACAAGGTTGAGGATATATAAACTCTTCTGTCCTATTATCCAGAATGATAATCTTGCGACAACACAACCGCAATCCACACCTACCTTTGTCACAGTGAATGCTGAATGAAGCGTCTTCATTTATCTGCTCCCAGCTGAATGCAGTTGACACATTCAGAGGGTTGAACAATTCCACTCTCGTTCGCAGTACACACCCTTTGTTAGTTCGGCTCTGAAAATGTGTGAGATCCAACTCCAAAACCGAGGGATTAACTTCTAGCCGATGTGGAACTCCGTTTGCGGTGATCAAAACAGTTTTGTAGTACTGTCCGCTGATGGAGAAATTCGCGTTACTGAAAGATTAGATGAGATTACTAAGTTAAGTCTTCCAGAATCCTCTACTTTGATCAGAACACTAAGAATACATAGACCAAAAGCTATCGTTTTCATCAGCGAAGCAGACAAAATGTGGAACACGGACGTACAGCAACAAACGGCCGAGAAAACGGTGGGAAAATGTGGTTCGAATGTGGACAGTTGTCGGTAATACCTTCAGAGTGTACAAGATTGTCCATCTGATCTTGGACAAAATTGGTTCGGTGGATTTCTTGGGTTCAGGAGTGTGCGACAAACCGAAGATTAGTTATATGTGTCACCCAGTCGGCTGTGTCTATGACACTGTGTTATCGATGACCTCAGAGGCTTTGTAATGGCATGTGTACATGTTGCACTCACTGGTCCCACAATATATTGTGTTGTTTGTCCCAGCCGCCCGATGTTGATATCTTGAGGTCATAGTCTTCAAAGAAGTGCACTGTGACTTTATCTGGTCATTTCAACTTTTCTGACATGTTAGCATGCAACATGCCTACTTGCTACATTCGTGTTTGTTCCCATATTAATTTCGGTGCTAGTTATATGCATCCAGGTACATGACCCGTTGGAGTGCCTACGCATTTATGAACTCCAAAGGCATACAAGAGTGTCAGAGAAGCAAAGTGTTTACCAGCGGGATACCCTGCGAGCCTGTCCGTTAAACTGAGAACATAAATAGTTTCTAGCGGACGTGTGGATAAGAGACGATGGTTTGACTGTTAGTCTACCGGATAGCGATGGAAAGACTGTAAATTCCAGCAGAATCTGGTAAGATTTTACAAAAACGTACATATAACCAAACTGCACCATGGCTAAATAAATCGAACCTTTTCAAAAAGAATGTTAGTTTGAAACTGAAAAAGCAAAAAGTTACATGGCGTTGCTGGCATTACCGACTTTGCTGAAAAGTACCCAGCTGATCCCAAATCTTTCGAGAACTTTTGGTAGCATTCAGCGTTATTCCACACTAAAGATTTACAAAACCGTGAAGTTCCACCAACTTTATAAAAGTAAACACTTTGACTTACTACTGAACTCGCCCGATAGCATGACATTGGACAGTCACGGGTATTTCAATGGTGGTCAGTGGTTTGACCACATAGATTGGTAGTGAAGTATCACATAATGTCTTGTCTTCTACCTCCATTTTTACCAGAAATTGACGGTTAGTCGGATTGTTCAGCTGAACTTGTTGCGTTTTTGTGGTGCCACGACACAAATCTCCAAAGTCGATGGAATTTGGACCTTGTCAAAAAATGAATAAAATATGGGCAAAGGAGTGTCGTTCGTTCGTCAGTTTCCTATTTGTTCATCACTCACAGTATCAGATGTTAAGACAGTAACGATCCTTGTGATGCACGAATATGAATCCTTATTCTCATTCCCATTGTTTTATTTTTGAGAAATGTTTCGTTTAAACTAAAATAACATGTCCGTACTAGTGGATGAAAACAACCTGGTCGTCATTGATAATTTTCAAACAGTGGCTTCATCTGTGCTTCAGGATGTAACGTCTGGATTTAATCCTGTTCGAACTTTTGAGTTTAGATAAAATGCCGCTTTGTGAGAACAGTGTGACCCGCATTGCTGACCTATATGTTAGAAAATTACTTTTGAAAAGTATTTAATGACCGATGTCAGGACTGTGTATAGCACGTCGCTATTTGTCTACCATCCACGATAACTCGGAGTGAAAATTTGTTTGTTCGTAGTCAGTTCTTGCACTGATTTTTGCCTTTGATTCAACCGCCAATGCCGTCCTATATTGACTGGTTTGCTTGATGCCCTAATACAAAAGCGCATATACCGGATCCGTAAGCAACACTATTATATAATAGCTTCGGAAAGTTTCTCACGTACCATTCTACAAGTCACCACGTTTCATTTCCTTTGATTCTATGTTTTCATCGTTGCCATCATTCCGATTTTTTTATAATCGTTAAGCATTGCAATGGGAATAAACAGACGCTTTCCTGCCAAAAAATATCCTCACTATTAGTGAATTCTACTGCGAATACCTGGTAGGATCAAGAACGTTTTGAATTTCTCAAATCAAGTTCCCCCGTAACAAACTTCAACATTTTCATTCAGCACTCTAATAGTTATACGTTGATTTATCTGACATCAATGTGCTCAAACTGAGTAAGGCCGTCGTACTGTGCTGGGATTCACTTTCCTTATCAGAACATAGCACTAAAGGCTGGGAGTGTGACGATCCCATAAACAAGCCGAAAAATAGAATTTTGCGAAACCGTACACATATGTGCTCACAGTAACTAGGACACAAAAAAGAATTCACTGCTTACTCAGGGAAACCTGGTACAACTCGTTTGCACTCAACGGTTCAGTGAACGCTTTTTCTTTAGCCGCATTTATTGTTGCGTCAATAACTTTACCCTGTAGACGACAACAAAAAGCAAAGTGTGGTTAGTTTACCATTCACAATACGGCATAACAAACAACGATTGTTTCTCCTCTAGTTCAGTCTAATCCAACACAGACTTTTCCTTCATGTGTTCATGAACGATAGGTTTATAATCAAACAGGAAGTATACGAGGTGGATACACCTCTGGGGGGCAATGGCTGTATTTGTACTAAACTCATCCAATATAACGACGCCATCATTACACTAAAATTGGTCGGCTTACTAATGCTCCGGAGGCCACTTTTAATTTGCTAGCCACCCTAATTCGTTTCAGAGCTATCGATTATAGGCCGATTAATCCCCCTGCGCCATAAGAAGGACACCGGTAAATCTGGAGGTTTTTTTATTTTGAACTGGCTAGGACTTAAACTTTGTATTGACGAGTTCTACCCATTAGAGGTATGAAATTCTTATGACATTTTTTCTGCCTGAAGAGCACGCACAAACAAAGAGAAACCGAATAAGGGCAACTGAGTAAAAATGATAAGCGCGTAATGTCATTGCTGGTGATTTTCGTCAAAAATGAGACAGCTATACGGTGCTTCCTGGATTTTCAGCAGAGACTGGATTCACGCGGGATGAAATGTCAACTAATGATCTAGAAATTGCCGCAATATTTAGGCAAATAAATAGCCAAAGGCCCTGAAGAAAACCAGATCCTCTAAAAAGTAAATAACTATGCATTACATACACCCTCGAACCACCCCAAAACTTGCTTTGCTCAATTTGGAAAACTGAATCTCTTCTACGAGATTGCAGTACATTAATACTAATATAATGGAGCGTTACGGGTGATTGTTATCATAAAATCAATCTTATAGGTGTTGTTGCCGAGTTGCGCGACCTTTCTGCTACAATTTCTTACTAAACACTGGACGCACATAAGAGGCCAAAGCAACCAAATCATGGAGTAGGCTGCGTTGGCCGAATGACCTCCTTCCGACGAGTAGTTGAACGTCCTTCCAGGCTCAAACAGCTTATCATATCATAAGTAATTGACTTTGGAGCCGCGTTAACTTGATTAACCGCGAGCCATTGTGAATAATCCTGCTAGCCAGTGGAGTCTCTATGAATCTGTAAAACTTTTTTAAGGTCCATTTCTCGGTGAAGAAACCTGAACTCATGGCCACTCAGACCGGTTTTGGAGGGATATTCCGGCGACTAGCTAGGCCTAAGTCCTACATCAATGATTTAGAATATATCGATGATATCCTTCTGTTGAGTCACGTCTTAGAAGAACCTTGAGGTGTACTAAATCAACGGATTCACTAGTGGGACTGGAAATCAATATATCACAGTAGCACCTAGTTTAGTTCCTCAACATACTTCAAACTGTCTAACTTAAAATAGTGCCATGCAGTGCTCTCTGGGCCGAATGAATGGTTGCATACTCTCTGTGGTCACTAAGACGGTATGCCCTAACTGAATTTCTACCATGAACACAAGTAAGGATAAAAGTGGTGGTTTTGGATGCTTGGCGAATTAAAGCACACAACCCAACAGGATCACTCGAAATATCTTGCCAACTGCAAGCAGTCTGAAGGAATAAAAAGTTTTTCATTCGTTCCCGGAACAAACGAATCGAGTTTCAACGAATACTCACTATCTTTTCCAGAGCCTTCAATCTTTTCGTTGCTACATCCTCGGCCGTCAATATTGTTGAAGTCTTCGTTTTGTGCTTCTTTTTACCTGTGAATGAAAAAGTACTTACGTGCAAAATATATGAGGGCACCTGTCTTATTGCTGTGCACAGCTAAACATGGTGGCTCAGCGGAAAGCAATATAATTGCCAACAGAAAAATTGAAAGATATTTTGATATTGTTCACTCAAAGCCAATTAGTTCGCCAAATAGTGGACCCAATTAGATCATATTAATCTTCATGCAATTATGCACTTCAAGCAAACCTCATTGGATCCAGTGACTAACACTTTGGCTTACCTTCCCGCAAATTGTCTTCTCCTTTCCTGATCAGGTCAACTGCTATGCAAAAGGCATCGTTCTCCATATCCAAAGGGATGAAACCATGATGCGGCTCGGCCTGCCAAGGCATAAGCCTCGTGTCCATCCTTTTCTGAATGTTCTTCTCAGTATGTTTACGTATCCATTCCGCGTAAAATTGAGTGTTGGCTACCTTTAACTTCAGTTTACTTTCACTTAGCTGGTAGTCCCGATCCAGGTAGGTATACCGAGGAAGACGGCAAAATATTGTTCTGAAGAGGGAGGAGAAGCCCAGAAGTTACACACGTCTAGAACTTGAACAGTGACTGTCACGTGTTTATGAACGTTTCTCAAAGGAATGAAAGGGATAAAAACAAACGTCAGCAACGAATGCTGACTTACCATTGCCGGATACCGGAACCCAAATTAATTGTGATCCTACAGTTTATTGGGCAAACCTGAGTGCCAGATAATTTGCCTCAGATAAACTTTCAGAGAAATGAATGTTTCATTTGTAGTAAAAATTATTTGATCTCAACAGATAGTCTACAATCAGTCAGGATGACTAGTGTGTTATAGGAATAATTCTTTTTGGACATCTCGCCCAAAAGAACGCAGTCCTATTGGAAAAAATGTCACCATAACACAGGTTTTTTCTTCATAAAAGTACAACTACATACGATTGGTCACGGTAGTACGCGGTTATTGGGTTCACTGTTAACTCTAGTTAAACCGCAGAATTTGTTTCAGATGAACTTTTCTTTTCTACGTCCACAAGATCAGTGCGACATGGTAATACACGAAGTTACGGTACTAAGACAAAACCTGACCATGAACAAGTACTCTAGACCACGAGCTCGAACGGTTATTGCCAGGAACACCATGCAATCTTGTCACTGTGTACAGAACTGTGTGAATATGGCTTACTCCATCTCGGATATTTAGTAATTGATAGGCCAGGGAGGAAGTCCCTCCACCCGTGTCGAACATTCTTTTCACACTACAGAAACCAATGATTTACTCGTCAACCGCTGAGGGAGCAGGTTACTTAGGCTTACATATTAGCCGTGGTGTAGGGTTTCGTTAGCAGTTACAAAAAACTAGTAAAATGGAGCTTTCATTTTGTATTTCGACAATCTTTGCAAACCTGATCAACTTTTCTTCTTCTGTAGGTCTTAAGCTGGTCGCTCTATCGTTCGGAAACGCCACCTGAGGACACTTGAAATCATCAGTATTGGAATGTGGTTTCCGGTATTCCAGCAACTTCCTCCATTCTTGGTGAGCATGAGTTGGTAGTCCTTTGAGTGAGAGAGTTTTTCCCTGATTCATCACCGCTACTCTTGGACAAGGAAGGTTGGATCCAAAACGCATAATATCCGTACCAAATCCAACTTCGTTACTGACCAGAGGGACAGTGCCTGGCAAAACGTTAGAATGAAAGACGAAAGATCTTGAAAAGTGTTAGTTAGGTTTCTTTTGTACAGAAATTTTGACCTCGCAAGACGCAAGTAAACTGAGGTACACTTGTCAATAAAAATATAGTTGTGTATTTATGGGCGTCTTTGAATCAGTCAAGTGGAAAAAGTTTGGAACCGATTGAAAAGTCATCGTTTCAGAAGAGCTTGGTAAACAATCGGTGGTTTTTATCTGGGCAAGGTTTCGCTTTTGACACAAAAGCTTTAAACTACTCGTCTGTCCATCCGAAGTTGGTTTTCGCCAGTACTACCTCATCAGTGCTCAGGCCTGCAAGGGCCCTGTGCACAGAAGAACCTGATCAGACAGCGGCCCAAATTAAAGTAATGAACAAGCTTCGGAGTAGTGGGTATCCAGCCAGCTTGATTAGGCGTCAATTGCGAAGGGTGTTGATACCGGTAGCGAAACCCAACAGGGAACGTATCGGGACAGCTGTTATTCCATATAAACCAGGGACATCGGAGGTAATTCGAAGAATTCTAAACACTGCCAACGTTAGAGTAGGTTTCCAGAGGGGGAACACTCTGCGCTCTGCACTGGTGCAATTGAAGGATCGCATCCCGGCAGACAGAACCAGGGACTGTGTCTACAAAATCAAGTGTAATGACTGCACCAAGATCTATATAAGACAGACGGCCAGGGAAATACACATTAGAGTCGGAGAGCACAGTAGAAAAATAAACAGGCCGCCGAGAAACGCAGATGAATATCAAGCGTTACCGAAAGACTCGGCGATTGCGGAACATGCACTCGACACGGAACACAGAATAGATTTAGAAAATATTGAGGTCTTCAGGCGAGGACTACGGTCCACTTCACACAGACTGATCGCCGAGGCGGTAGAAATCGCCAAGCATCCCAGCGTTAACAGAATAGGTGTGGAACTGGCAAGCGTGTGGAGAACGGTTCCGAATCAGTCGAGTTGACACGTGTTGGTGTGCGGTCATCAGAAGGAAGAGTAGTCATCATCTGGATTCCATTTGATCTCAAGCCCTCAAACTAAATTGTCGGAGCACTCAAGACCCCACAAAAACCTGGGAAAATATACCAGTGATAGCCGAAGTGAATCATCAACCGAAGCACCCTGAAGTGAATATTAACGGAAACAAACCCGATCAGAATTCCCCCCCCCCAATCCACCAAAGCAAGATTTTGACAGCTTCACTAACCGACAAGAGCCGTAATTGACACTTAACACTGATCTAGTGTGATATTCTGAAGAGGACTGACTTACTGATTGGTTCCCTCTCTGCCTTATAACCTGGCCAATTTGGTAACCTGCTCACTTGGCCTGATGAAGCTTTTGTGTCAAAAGCGGAACGTTGCCCAAATAAAAAATACCGATTATTTACAAGGCTCTTCTGAAACGAGTATTTGAATCAGGTTTGAAGTTTACTTTGAAAATGGCCCTGTTACTGGGGTTCGAAACAATCAACATACAGTTTTATTTGGCAACCTTAAATTAAAAGGACATCGACGTTTTCATTCAACTTCCACTCATTTGAAACTACAACTGCTTATCTTTTACACACTCCGTGAAAACTGTGCTTTCGGCCAGCTATGCGGCACAAATTCTGTAGAATCAATGAATCACAGCTGATGTTAGTTCAAATGGATTAGACCCTCGGTGAACCATGTGACTGTCTGTGGCCTTAGCATTCATAACATTAGCGACTAAATTTTGATCACAACGTACTAAATGTCTCCGGTCCTCATACGCTACTACTTTACTTTTCCCACTGGTAAGCCTGAAAATCCAACATAAGTTCATTGTTCAAATATGATCAGGGTTTTTAAATACTTGGATGGTAATTTTTAAGCACGCGTAACATACAAATTTAAGCGAAAGACTGGATAAATTGAGACACTGGTTATTTTTCGCCTAAAATTAAATCAAGTGAATTCCATGCAATAATAATACTGAAACAGTGTTCTAGAATGCTACAATCGAAGTGAATCAGTGGGCTTCTGTAATCAGAATGTAATGATACCACGGTGAATTCCCGGGCAGAATGTATTCACATCAGAAAGGTTGCAAAAAGTCATACCTGGATTGAATTTAATCGTTGGTTTGATTGCCCCCAAGACTGCGGAGCCGCAAAGCGTCAAATAGGTCTTGAAAATCACCGCTTTAGATTTAGCGTTGTCATTGAGTTGACAGTCGTCGAGCAACAGTACTTGCTGACGAATTGAATGTGCACCTGCAGAAGAATGTATGATTCACGAATGAATACGCACTGGAGTAGGTAACTAAGGAAACGCGGACTTCATTTCTTCAAAGTATTGCTCCTAAAGCTCAGTTTCGCACCTATAACCTAGTAACATCTGTTAAGATTCTAACATATAAGATTATTTTGTGGCTTGTTACGGCTTCGGTGTTTGGTGCCCTTCAACACGATTGGTTGATCGATTGCCGCCTGAGACCATGGATAGCATGACGGCACGAGTTCTGACGGCGTAGTGGAACAACTTGCATCAGAACTGATATCCGACCCGGACTTTCGGACCTTTTAAGGTGTCATGTCTTATTCAAACTTTCATTCAACCACTACAGATTTATCAGTACCAAATAGGTATGCAATTTTCGGAAGAATGTATCTTGAAGACTCGCACCAACACCAAGCTCTCTCTTGAGTGACTCTTGGGAACAAAGCAAAAAATTATCCAAGGATCTACCGACGAATGTGAATGGATGGCCTTTTCCCTTTGAAAAGAAGACCCAACGAGGGAAAAAGCTTCTGAACCTGGCACCTATGTTAACCGTTTATTAAACCGTTTATTAACCGTTTATTATTAACTCATCCTTTTCGGACGTAAGCAGATTAGTAGAAGGCGTCAGATTTTTAGCAGCTTCGACTATACGGTATCAAACGAAGTTTATTCGTTTTCCACAGGGTTGCTTATTACAGCTACAGCTGGCTAGTTTCGGATTGAGTTATTTTTGTGGCAATACTTTTATGACACGGACTTGAAGTAGTAACAGGCCTGATCACCGGTAGCATAATCGCTCCAGATCTCTCAAAAAACATCCAGATTAGTCGTATATTTCCAACCCGTTGCCTTCGGATCCCCATTAGTGCACCTTTGAAGATGGTATGCAGAGTCGAATGGCGCTTTTTTTGAGTACAGTCTTCATCATATCTCTCTGGACTACGTAACTGAGGAGTATTGTGTCGATGTACGACACCTGGTGTCCACTTCTTTAGGCGACGATTGGAAAGCGCAGTAAGGTTTCACAGAGATTTGGTCGTGTAAATTAAGCCACTTCAATTCATATCTTTGTAATGTACGGCAGTGAAGCATCAGTGCCAACACTGATGTTGCTGTCTTTGATGATGATGATGATGATGATGATGATGATGATGATATCTTTGTAATGTACTACTCATATGGTTGCTGAAAATCCGTCGACAGTCCATGACCGGTTTCGCCCGTTTTGGGGTTCATCAGGTAGGCGCAGTCCCTGGGTTTCCGTCAACCTTATGTTCTACTTGAAACCAAATTGCACGAAATTTGCGAATATACACTCATTTGCAAATTAATTTGGTTTTCCGAGAGACTCACCTGGAACCCAGCTGACTCGCTCGTTTGTGATGTTCTCATATTGGTGTGAGAAATAGCCACTGATAAACAAAGTGTTATTAGACTGGTCTCCAAGTATGTGCCTGATGAGTCCCAACCAGAATTGTGCCCAGAACTAACCAGGTCCCACTTCCACAATGACGCTTGCTGTGATTTTGAAATGGAGATTCCATAGAACACACACATTCTCCTATGTTTAGTCCCATTTCGATCCCCAAAATTTCGGTCAGCTTTCAAGTTCATCCCGTTCTTCCGTAACCGTGCCCCTAATGCGTGGCCCTAATACTAATTATTAGCACATTTTGAGTAGCTGGTCTGAGGGCAATGTTCCTACTAGGATCAATTCTACATAAGAACAGATCATTGTTCGGTTTTTATTTTTTATGTTTACACATACTTTACTAAGTACAGTGTAATTTTACGCCCAGGTGAACAAAGCTAGACCCGACTTGGTTTGACCTGACTTGGCACGTTGGCGACTGAAGTTAATGTTTTCCACCGACTGTTTGCAAGGAACATCCAGAAACAATGACATCTCAAACAGCGCCAAACTTCTTTAATGGACTGGGTAGACCCATAGTTCCAGCAACGATGCAAAATGATGAACGGATTTTTTTTTCGGAATCTCGACCTCAGACCAGCAGATACTCAGCGGTTAAAATAATGGTGACGACCTGGGTGAACACATTGTGCTATTGTTAAAATAAAATTGGAACACTATAGAACAACTGAATGGATATAAAAAAAGAAAATTTCATATATGTGGAAAGGGACTTTCTACCGTTTGAATGGGTAGGTTTGGCAGCTTATGCCCTATGGCCGAACTACCCATCTTGCAGTCACTAGGGCTAATTTATGTGTCTGAAGCGTTGTTGTCCAGATAGACTGCAGCACTGTTGCTGCTAAAAATTAGTTTTACCAAGGTCTGTCATGACTGCTTCGGTAACAGTTCTGGTTTCCGGTACTGAAACTAACGGAGTTATCCAGAACAGCTGAATCTGTAGGAGCAGTCTATTTTTGTTTTCACACCCAGTAGGTGTCACTTTCTTTCGACTACAAACTCTGTTTTAATGCTGTTTTCGTGTTAACATCCTACAGACTGCTGTATAAGGCAGCGATAAGAAAGCGTTAATACTAGACAACAGAAAAGAGGAGATAAATCTCGAACGTACCGCATTGTTTTGGATTAAACGCTACGTCGATTGCTACACGATCATTGGGCGGAATGTGACCATTGCTGGGGCTAGTGTGGAAGTGAGCCACGCTTGGTAGGAAGTACGCCAATGGGATCTCGGCAGATCGGTTTCTGATGCAAAACTTCATTTTTCGTGTTTTTCCAATAATGCATTGACCAAAGTCCATCAAAATCCTATTGCCAGGCACCGAAATTGTCTTCATTGGATTATCAGACTCTTTGTTGTTAACGTTATCCTTTAATTCGCTCACTTCGGTAGAAGGTTCGATACTGACCTGGACGGGTACAACCCTACCCGTGATTAGAATCTCAGGGCTTGGACACGAAGCACAATCTGATGGAAGATAAAAATGATCCTTATCAATTTTTATTGCTAGAATAGAACGACGGAAACATAACTTAACCCTTATTGTTGATGTGCTGAATTCAAAAGTTAGGTATGTAGCTTGCTTATTCCAAAGGCCAGAAATATCTGAGGATATAGAATGTTTTGTTTATCTCTGAGGCTGTGAAAACACCGAATTTAGTGTGGCAATTGGGTTGACAATCTGAGGCTAGAATTGTGCTTGATAATTTTCAATATCCATGGAAAACTAGCATATCAGTATTTCTCAACGGCCTTGTGCTTTAGGCCACAAGGCAAGCTGTTACGTCCCACAGATGTCTGGCGAATTCACCGAGATGTTCTTGGAAACATTCATTTGACCACGTGTTCAATAGGCTTGATCAAACCATCTTATTCGGAGAGTAACTTTCTTTGTCGTCACAAAGCATGACAGACTGTCGAGCAAGGACGAATCAGCTCACTTTAGTCATCAAAGGGGAAATCTGCTAACATACTTAATCACTGTTGCTGACATCAGTGGTATTGTTCAAAGTGTTTCGTAAGACCTGCTGTCATTCTGGTTGATTAAAGCCCAACAATAACTCAAAGAACGACAAATCAACTGATGGACTTTAACCAGCAGTTTCTTGAAATAAACGTTTGGCATAATTCAATCACTTCTACAATGCGGGGATGTTATTGACGGATGGAATATAACCTTCTTATAAAACTATGCAGTAAGATGCCATTGAAATACACACGGGCATACTTGAAATTTGTAAATGAGGGAGTGCAGATGGCTCCACGATGTGTACGCGAACGCAAAGCGCAAACGGCGTAGAAGGTGGGTTTTCTGGATTATTGATAAACCCCTTTGAAGGCGGTCTCAAGCGTGGTCGAATCCGAAGCTTCATTGGCAGTTCCTCATATGGTTGCAGCTCACCGTAGGGAGGACATATCCTTACTGATGATTCCCAGAGATTAACCGGATTCACTTGTTCGTTACCAGCATGAATGGTCTAACAATCAGGAAAATTCGTAATTTGAACGAATTAAACAAGGGAACTTATAATTTGAATAATTTCATTAGTTATTTACGACTCAAAATTGATACAGCAATGGACATCGTTCTGTTGACAAAAACCAAATAAGTATTCGCATTTCTTCAAGAGGTGACATATCCTGAAAGTATGTTTGTTCAGAAAAATACTCGATAACTATCTGGAAACTATTTCGCTGAAGCTAGTGTTCTTTTACAATTCCAAGTAACAAACCACAGAATAATGTCTCTCTTCTTTCACTCGGCTTCAGGTCACAGATTTATTGATGTCAACAAAATGCGTACAATTTTTCTTTGTGGGATGTCTTGAGTTTCCCAGTTCTGAAGATTTGATTCGTACAGCAACCCCATGAATGCATGCAGCAAAGACGTAGTGTCCAGTGACTCAACCACAAAAAGTTATGTGCCAGGCTTTGGCGATGAGAACTATAGATAAATGCTGTAACATTTCCGGAGTGCCTTTAGGCGTTTTCAACTTCAGATCGATGACGTGAGTCTGGGAGATCATCTAATAACAGAAACGGATTGCGAAGAAACTTGCCATTTCCAGGGGTAGTATTAATTATGCAAAAACTGTTAGCCAAGGTGATGTCCTAATGTTTGAGTTCAACAAGATACGACATCGAACAATCACTCGCAAATCCAGTTTGTAGCATTTCCACTGACAAAGTTTCGAAAAGATTACTTGGTATAGATAAGCTGTGGTTCGAAGACCATAGTCTTGAAACTATACAACAGTCACTCGGGTCCTTTAAGGGGGAAGAAATTTAGGACCGAAAAGTCGGTAGCATATGTCTTGACTACGGTGTGTTGTGATCACAGCTTTGCCCTAATGACTATCTTCCAAAGCATCAAACCTAAGAAGCAGAATACTACTGTAAATCGGCTCAAATGGTGAACCAACCAAAGGAATACAATTTTTAAGATCCCATCTGATGACATTGACACGAAACAATATCCATGTTTAGAAGATGACGAAAAAGGGCTTAATGCTTCCTTAGCTTTTGGCCTTGCAAATCGTTTCACGATATTTGGATCCTTGATAGTTCGCAATCATGCCAAAAACTACTGAGTATATGTGTTTATTATTGTAGTCAATTTTCATCACCTTAGTACAAATGCTAACCGGCGATTTTCTCACCCTACGTTTGGAACATGTGACACCACCACAACCCATGGAAGATGCAACAGTGCACCGAATCGACGCTTCTCCATGGATTACAAATTACCTATTGCTATGACTAGATGTAATGCTAATCAACAAACACGTTGCTATATAAGAATCAATATTGTGTGACCACTTTACGATGTTCATTTGCTAGTGAACGAGTTTTTCTACTGGGGCAAATTCTGTTATGAACAAACGTGCGCAGACCTACTAAATTGGACGATATCGATTTTCCTCTCGGTTGTGTCCTGATGGATATGGAGCAAATCAGAATGAGCCCTCAGCCAATAGTAAATAAACTGAGCCTTGTTAAATACTTCCTTGTAAAATGGATGTTTGTTAAACTAAAACTCCAAAACAATGCTTACCGCAAAAGAAGTTGAGTAAGGAACAAAGGCACGTTTTGAGAACAACCAGAAGGAAACAAATCAGTCTGGCGGCATTCCGAGTTTGCGTTAAGTGCACTTGTACCGGAAAACCATAGTGTATTTTTGCTGCAGTTTGTGAGATGCCCAAGCATTCCTGTTCGCATTATGAGACGTTGGCTTTTTTGGATTAGAGATTGTGGTAAAGTAGGCCTGTCTGCAGATTTTCTCAACGTTAAACTGAACACTTCCAGTTCAGTCGGGACGAAACGGCTTACAGTGATACCCAGCGCTATGGTAAGCTCAGTTTCCCCTAAGTAAATACTGACGATAAGGTTCAAAGGGTCCCTTGGAAAACTGTAAACTGGACCGCTAAATTGTTAATTTTCTATGTAGGGCTGATCGAAGCAATCTTGACAGATCTAGATAAAACCCGTCCTCATCACTCCCAGAACTGCAGTTTGTTGGAGCGTATGCTAATAAGACAAATAAACATTGTTTAAGGTATCGACGTACATTGATCTTAATTGTGCCAGACAACCGCACAGTGCAAAGCCGAGTGTTTTGGTCGGATCCCGTCCTGCAAGGCGAGCCATTGCCTGTTGGCTGGCAAGAACTTATGAATAACTAGCCGTCTGCAACTATATCCCTAGATGCTTACCTGATGAAGTTCATCCGATAAGACGCATACAAATTTCGATGGCTCAGGTGACTGATTCAAAATGTTCCAGTGGAATACTCGTGCTGCATTATGGAAAATCGGACCAACATTGATGAGCACACTATTCTCTGCATGCAGGCTTTTCGAAAAAAGCTCTTTATCATCTGGAACCTTTGAGTAAATGGAAAATTGACTACGTTTAGTTGCTTTCAGAATGAGCTGAGGTTGCACCACGTTCGCAGTGATTTCGATGATCTTTTTCTGAGAGCCTTCAAGTTCAATCCTAAAAAGCCTTATGCTTGAAAGCGGCGCGTTCACTCACGGTATTGAACAGGTCAAAATTTGCTCGGTCCCCGGAAGGAAACTTATCTAAACAAGTAATACGTTAGTTGCAAGATGAATGTGTAACCATACCGTGATCTTCTTCGATGAATTCGGCGGAACAATGCCATAGGATGGAGTAATTTTTATTTTTTCATTATTCTCATCGATCCGGAAGTGCCCTGGTACATTTCCAAGGTTTCTAATCGAAAAACTTCTTTTGACAATCCGGTTTTTGGGCACAACCGCGCCAAAATCTATTTTTTGTGGCAAATCCAGATAAGGCTTGGGAACGGATCTTTTGTTGTGATGAATATTATTCAAGGCTTTCTTACACCAAAATCGGCAACATCTGCGTTTCTCCATCTACGGTGATAACCAGACGGTCTTCAAAGTCAGCACCATCGTGCTTCAAATGCAGCTTTACCCACACGGAACTTTTCATCCCGGCAGCAATCGGCCTTTCAAAGGATTCATTTATAAGTTTCAGGTCCTAAAGTGGACAATAGGATGGAATCTCCAGAATGAACTAGATAAACTCACGTCAGACTTAGGAGGATAAACTCGTATTTGCTTTGTATTCAGTGAGATGTTGTGAATTTGGACAGTCATCACTTGAGTGATTGATGTGCGAACATCAGAAAAGTGAATAATTCCTGGTGTAATGCGGACTCCAAGTGCTTCCATATGTTTGAGCGTTCCTCCCTCCTTACCCGACAAAGGCCTCATCGTCTGTATGTGTCGAAAGAAAATGAATGAGGGAACGGCTGTTTAGGTACGATTAATAACACACTAAAATTGGCAGGTCACTCATCATACGCCAACTTATTGTGGCATATTTTCATTGTATACACTCATTAACTAAAAAATAACTTGTATCGACAGATCGCATTATCAGTCGACCTTGATTGATCCTGTCACCTCTGAGCTAATTCACGGAGCCGCCAGATCAATTCAAACATCGTGCATTGTTCGTCGTTTGCGACGCAATTTAACTGCATTGCCCTTTTCTTCAAAACAGCTCCTATTTTTCCGACGGTAGTCAGTTCCGTCAAGTAATTAGTAATCAAAGGTTTTGCACGCTCTCCCACCTTCCGATTATCCAACCTGAAGCAGATGGAACCAATGCACCCATGGTACATGATCTATAGCTGATAAATTGAAACAAACTGAATTTGAGGTCATCATGGATGTAAACCTTTTGAGTCCATCACGAGAGAAACTTGTCGCAGCAGTCAATATCCGAATCGAGCGACGAAATCAGATCTGTCCCAGCCTCTCCCCTCATTGGACTCAGTGGTTAAGGCGCAAAATTACTGACCAGAAGATCCGTGTTTTGAGCCTATCTCGGGTGTCTCGACTGCCAGTGTCTAGGCTATTGCAACCTGGCGCAAGCTCGACACTCATGTTTCCTTCGCTGGCACGGAGACTAGGCACCGAAAGGGTGTTACAGCTGGACGATTCCCCCATGCAAGAGAACTATCAGTTAACTACTTTTAAGTGAACTTGTCGAAATTATGGATTGCTTCTGCAATCCATTCCTCCATTTTGATTCTTCACCGTACGCATTCTCCAGTCTGAAAGTGAGCTGTGCCGTCGAATCAACCATACTAGCGTATGCTTGGTACATGGTTCTAAGCTGACTGACCGACTAGTCCGTATGTACTCATTTTTAATTGTGAATACAATCAATCAACGGTCTGAATCCCAACTGGCCTGATAATCAGATACGGTAGAATCATAACAGCCATTGACAAGTGTTTTCCTCGATTCACATTCGCCTGGACTCATAGAGTTTAGCTGCGTGCTATGCGCATGGTGCGATGAGCTAATAAACTAACGAAGTCAAGCAATGTTTTGGGTGGTTTGCCTAGGTGCCTGTCATTGAAAAAAATCATTCGATCGTAGCACCCTTTCGGTGCCTAACTACCATGCCACACGAAGGCATGAGGGCTGGGATACTGCCGGGTTGACTAAGTTTAGACAGGGAAAGTCGAGAGGCAGAGGTCAGGATCGAAATACGGACCTTCTGGTCAATAAATTCGCGCCCTAACCACAGCCATATCGCCTGTCACTGACGAACTGTGAGATTTTTTATCTCGAAAGTTTTCCATCGAGGTCTGAGGAATAACGATGCAAATGGTTCTCAGTGTTCTCCAACCTAACTGCTAATATGACCCTTGACTTGGCAGAGGAGTATGAAGGAGATCACAAAACGCTTGGGTGCTGTCGGTGCTACTCACCTTCCAGGATGGGGACCGCGTGATCCTCACTGTGCCTGGTTGGAGACACTACAAGATATGGCTGCCAACCGATGTCAGTGGCCTTCTTGTTATCAGTCTCTATCCAGATTGCCTGAGTGAGTGTTTGGCGGTAAAGGCACCCCGGAATGATTGTGATAAGCTATCATTAAGTCACCTCCCCGTCCACCTTTACTCTTTTCTTTACAATAAGGCTTTCAAATAAGTCATGGTGAAGCATCATGGCAGTGAAGCATCAGTGTTGAACACTGATGTCATTCTGTTGATGATGATGATGATAAGCTGTTTGGACCGATATTTAGCTAGCTTTCTCTCCTATCGAACCATCACAACTTTCTCCTATGTTTATGGACCTAGTGAGTTTCCTACGGTTCTGATCGTGATGCTTCCCGTATGATGTCAAACTCGGATGTGAATAATGATGAGTAGGTCACTTCGGCCCATAATTATTTAGTCCAATCGTAAATATTGGTTTTTCGAGGGAAATGCACACAGCTTTGTCCGACGAGCACAAGTTTTTTCGCACCTCCTGCCTTTAGTTCCTCTGACCGACATCCCTGGTTCTGTTCCCACATTTACTGTATCTCTACTAGAGACACTGCTCTATTTATACTTCGGTTGATGTAAAACTTTCAATGCTTTGCTATTGACTCTTCTGTATAGAATGGCAGTTCTGATTCAAAATTTATTCTATCATGTAATCTTGGTTGCTTTTTGAGCTGACTCTGGTGATTCCATGGAAGACTCTATTCCGAAGTGTTTATTTAAAAAAGTGTTACATTTGCATCCACGCATAATTATATCAGCTTCCGCCTTCACTGCGCAGCACGTCAGCTTCATCTCTCCAGATTGTCGGCGAAAAAATGTAGTAGCTCTAACCACAACGTAAACGCGGTGTTTTCTCTTTGAACCTGACGAATGAAATGCATCTTTACTCAGTACTTCGTGATCGATAACGCTAGAGGTAAGTTATTAACCTAAATGGTCAGGATAGAACACCTATCATGAGATGGTAGGCTGTAAAGTCATTAAGGTGGAGACACAAATATCTGTCAAACATATCTTTGGCATGAAAATAATAACTAGTGGATTGGCGTGGATCCAGTTTTCGACATATTGTTCCCTTGAATGTTTTCTGTTGGTGGATGGATTGTCACTACTTTTTGTTTCGACAACCTAAACAAGAAAAAACACCGAGACTTGTCACCTTATTTCAACTGCCCTTGTGGCTGATGGTTTGGTCCTGCGGCCTGATGGCACCTTGAAGCAGAGAGGCATGCTAGTACTTTAGAAGGGGTGAGAGGACATAAAATCACAGACCACAACTCAAATTGAGCAGGTTGAACGAAGGAGATAAGTAACGGGGCGGCTGGCCAAACAAGTTACTGTCCGAAATATGCAGCTCCACGTTATATATTAAATTCTTAATACTATCCTTGAGAATCCCACAAGCAGTTGTTTTTTGGCCTCTCCCTGTCGATCAGATAAAAGTATTTTCGCAAATTCCAAGCTGCACTGTTTCCCTCCACTTTCCATGACGTCTATCTGCTCGCCCATTTAATATACTTGAGCTGACGTCTGACAGCTTTTCTGGCTTATTTGAAGGCGTACAAGGTCATGATTTCGATAGATACAGCGCCTCTTCCGAAGTCAGATTTTTGTTTGGTGAACTTCGAATGCACCACTTGCCGAGCTTTTTGCCATATGTATGAATGATCTGATCTCGTCTCACGATGCTTCTTCAACCATTGGATTTTGAAGTTGCATGAAGATTGGTTCAATAGGATTGCGTTAATTATGAGGTCAAAAATTTCGGCGGCCAAACGGAAAGTATATTTATTTTGTCTCTTCAGAAGATTTTAGAAAAGATACACAAAACAAACGCATGAGCCAAGTCAAAGTGAATGGCACAGAAAAAGCGACAATCAAGAATAGAGCCTTAGTACAGGTTAACTAATATTGCCTTTGACTGAACACGATATCTGGACCCCGCGTGATGGACAGCAGAGTCATTTATTTTCTTCCGCCTACTCAGAGCCACATGTGGTTGGTGCACGTGTAGAAACTACAAATACGGAACGGTTTCTCTTTTGACTAGCAGGGGTTATTGTGGAATCTAGCACAAATAAATCAAAGGTGAGGATCCATCTGAATAAGGAAGCCTCGTCTCACCTGCCGAGAACTATACCAACTCTGCAAGAAACCGCTGCGCCTGATACAAACTCGCACAGATTTTGTATCTAGTAACATTTCGGCAACAAAGGAGCCGTAACTCTGAGTTTCAGAGAAATCGCAAAAAAACAGCAATTAGTTATCAACTATTTGCGCTAGAACTGCTTATACAATTCGCTTTTAAATTTGCATTTTTGCTTTTGCTAAAACAGAAAAACAGTTTTCAGAAAAAGACATGAAGCACTACGCGTGAGCAGCAGCGTAATACGCACGTAATACTGATAGCTAGATCTACGGGGAAGTGTTTGTTAAGCATGTCAAGGAAGACGGGAAGAGACTGTGCTACAGAAAGATAGGAATTAACCTCATCTCCCTGTTTTTCTTTCGAAGTTTGACTGAACACAGGGAGAGGCAGATCCGTGAAAACCAAGCTTGGTTCAGTCCTGCAAGAGGTTGCATCGATCATATCTTTACCCTCCGACAGATTCTGGAACAGCGACACTGCCTCCAGCAACAAACAATGGTTGTTTTTCTTGATATGAAAGCTGCCTTTGACTCTGTGGACCGCCAAGCACTATGGCAGTGTCTGTGGAGCAAAGGTGTCCCTCATAAATTCTTGAACCTCATTGAAGCGCTGTAAGCCAACTCCTGTGGCCGTGTAAAGGTCTACGGGGAGCTCTCTCCTGAATTCACCACATCAAGTGGTGTCCGACAGGGTTGTCCTCTTTCAATTTTCCTCTTCAACTTCGTCATTGATACGATCATGGAGGACTCACTACCAGCCTCTAATGCCTGTGGGGTCAAAGTGCTCCATGGGCCTCCGCTCACAGACATCGAGTACACAGACGACATAGCTCTTCTGGGATCTGACCCCGTGGCAATGCCAACAATACTAAATAATCTAGATAATTCTGCTTCGCGGTTCGGCGTGCGCTTCACACCTGCAAAGTGTAAAGTGCTACTGCAAGATTGGGTGGGCTCGAACCCTATCCTCGTGCTTGCGGATGAACCGATTGTTCTCTGTCAAGGGTCGAGTTTACAATGCTGCGGTGCGCTCCATATTACTATATGGATCAGAAACCTGGCCGCTGCGCGCCGAGGACGTCAAAAGACTTTCAGTGTTTGACCATCGATGTCTTCGGAGCATTGCCCGAATCTGGTGGGAACACCGGACCAGCAATGCTGAAGTCTGTCGAATGGTATTCGGGAGAAACAACTCACCCTCGATAGATGAACTGATCACATTGCATAGGTTGCGCTGGCGTGGCCACGTGTTGCGTATGCCAGTTGACCGAC